AGCCTGTTCCGCCATTCCATTAGATTATGGCTGATCTGTACCTCGACTCCCAATTACCTGCCCTCGCTCTGCGAGCGTGGGGCTTGAACCCACAACCTCAGACCTTGAGGGGTCAGTCGGTGTGCCAGCCTATTTTCTAGATCGGTTGTGACTATGATACAGCAGATGGGCTGGACAGTTCGTTAGATTCAGAGCGAAACCTATGCTGTGGTGCCTGGGCACAAGACACCCCAGTAACAGTGTAGTAACTGTTTTTTTTACGCTGTTAGTCGAATGGCGGATCACTTTCCGAGTAATAATCCCTTTAGAAATACAACAATGACAGTGGGGACAGCAAACCTATTGTTGTTACAGCGGGGAATCTCTGTTTAATGTCTTATCCAAAGCGCCTCAGGCAGTGCAGCATTCCCCAACTATACCATGTAGTGTCAGCCTTGATGATGAGCTGAGGTCCTGATATAGGGTTTGATCTCACGACCTTCTGACCAAGACGTGGCAGTTGCTGCCAACTGAGAAAAGATGACACTTACATAAAGTTTTCTGTTACAGTTCTGTTTCGACGCCTGAAGTGCAAGTTGTGGTTGTTGTTGAATTCCCAGAGTAAAAGTAATTTTGAGAGCTTGTACAATCACTCATCAGAGCTGCATTTTCACAGGGAGAAGAAATGGGTGACAGTAGGAGACACATCGCTCCGGATATTTAAGTGGGTCCCAGTGACCGACCCCAAAGAGGTGGGTGAAATTTGTAACCACATAAAATATTAGAATAAACTATTGTTGATCTTTATTTTGACATTTCAGAGCCTATTGCCTTTGTAAATCTTCCTGAAGAAATCCTGCAGAATACTATGACGATGCCCTCGTTCTTGGTACCAGTGAGCTTTTAAAATGTTCTCTTTTTATTTTGCTACCCCTTTCCAGGACAAATCCAAATCAAAGAATAATCTTGAATCAAAAGGTACAAAGGGAGACAAAGGATTTCCCCAGTTGCCAGTGTCTGACAACAGCTCATCACCCATCCTGCTGGAAATGAATGGTGAGTGTGCCTTTAACCTCTTGCAGGTTGCTCTAAGTGTAAGCAGCGCATAACTGAACGGCATTCAATTGTTCAATCTAGACTGGCAAGTTTCATCAAAATTGTTTTTGTTCAGTGGAGTCCTTTAGCTTTGTGATTAGAGCACTCGCCTCACAAACCTGTGTTCGATTCCCGGGCAGAGTGAAACCTTAGTTCCTTACTCCACACGTGCCTCTGTTTACCTAACAGTAAATAGGAACCCTATTATTTTAGTTAGTCAATTGGTGAATTGCTTTTCCATGGGTAATAATCCCTTCAAAAAAAGTAAGTAAAATAATAATTTGGTTACGACCGTTTCTGAGACACTGCTGTGCTCAATTGGTTGTTGTGTTTCTCCTACAAATATACAGTCAATTTTGTGTGAGTGGCCACGTGTGTGTGTGTGTGTGTGTGTCTAACCACCACTTTCTGTTTCAATTTGTCAAACTGTTCTCCTTTGACTTCATTGGATCCAAAATTTTCTTTCATCAAATCAAACCAAATTCTTTTCAACGGTTGAGTAGAAGGAAGAAGAAAATGGATAAGAAATTGAAGCGATGATAATAATAATAATAATCCTTGCATTTGATATAGCGCTTTTCACGTCTTCTAGACTTCCCAAAGTGCTTTACAGAATATGCTGCAAAGTGAATTGACCGTATATTTGTGGGCAAAACGCGGCAGCCAATTGCGCACAGCAGTGTCCTACAAACAGTCGTGGATTGAAAATGACCAATTTATTATTTTTTGTTTTTGAGGGATTATTATTAGGCTCTGTGTGGAGTAAGGAAACTTGGCCAAGGCTTCGCCCTGTCTGGAATTGAACCCAGGTCTCTCGTTTGCAAGGCGAGTGCTCTAACCACTGAGCTACAGGACTCCACAATGATGATGTGTTTGTGTGTTTTCTATACTCCAGATGAGAATAGTAACCAGAGCTCGCTGTCAGATGCCTACCAGGTAAAAGTGGACAGCAGCACCAGCCCCAGCCCCAGTCCTGAGCAGAGTGAGCCTGTCAGCCCGGCGATTCTGTCTGACTTCAAAGCAGATGATTCCCAGCCCCCCATGCTGGGACAGGAGAGTATGGAAGGTATAGCCAGCAACATGACAACAACAACAACAACAACAACAAATGACATTTACTCAGTGCCTTTCACATTGGGGGACGTCCCAAGGCGCCAGACAGTCAGGGATTTGGACCCGAGCAGGGGGTTGGGATCAGGAAGAGGGCAGGGAGGGTAGGGTAGGGATTCGATGCTGTGTTCTGGGCTATGGAATGGTGGGTTGACCTATCAGAATAGTGGTGTATGGGGCAGACAGTTGCCGAGTGGGCTACAAGTCCTAATTTTCAGTTAAACTGGTGAATGTCACTTCTTTGCTCCTGCTGATGCCTCCAATATTTCTTTCAGTCAGTCAAACGGCAAGTGGAAGCATTGTCATAGGGGCTATAGCAGTAGTAATTTCTCAATTCTCTCTCACAGAACCTTCCCTTCCTTCCTCAGAAGTAGGAGATGACCCACCAATGCTCACAAAGGAGGAGCCGGTGCCCCAGCAGCCTCAGGTAGGCCAGGAGTGTGTACACTTAGAGCGGCGTGAGGTCAGTATGTGTGCGGAGGTGAGTGCGGTCGGGGGTGGGTGACCAGCAAACCCATTTTGAACTGTGACCCCACCCGCCTCTTATTTGGCCTCTCTGGGTATTTGCCTGGTCTTATCTTTCATAAGAACAGGAGTAGGCAACTCAGCCTCTCGAGCCTGTTCCAACATTCTATAAGATCATGGCTAATCTGTACTTCAACTCCAATTACCCACCCTTGACTCATATCCCTTGATACCCTGACCTAAAACATATCTATCCACCTCAGTCTTGGAAATTGGAATGGATCCAGGCAGTTTACTCTTTGGGTAAAAAACCGCCTCCTGATTTCACTCGTAAGTGGGCTGGCTCTAATTTTATTCTAAGATTATTCCCCTTGTTCTGGACTTGCTCACAGTCTATAGGTTAATTGAATTGTGTGAAGAATATGATAGTAATCACAGACTGGAGCACATCTTTGCAAACTCCTAATTTATATTTAAATCATTCATGGTTTGGTAACAGGTTGTGGAAGAAGATGATGAATGTTCTGGAGCACCTCCACTGAAGAGGATTTGCACCGGACAGAACTCAGTGGTCCAGCCTGTAACTGAGAGTTAGCCCAGCGGTATTCATCCTCACCGCTCTGTCAAGCTGGCTCATGTTTGGTTCCCTCTGACTTACCGTCAAGTGACTGACGCATGGAAGAATGATATTTATTTTGTAGTTTGGATTAGCTTGTGATGGAAAAGATTAGGAATTTTGGCGTAGAACCATTGAATTTCTGTAATGTGGGATTGTGTCCTTTTGTAACTCAAGGGGTTGGGTTTAAAACATGGCCCCAGTGGGCCTCTTATTTGACACTGAAGTGCCTCCAGTTCTAGCGAGCTGACCGAGATGTGTTTGTGCTGAAGAACGGCTTTGGACTTCACCCATGAATGCATAGTGTTTGTCGTCAACTCCTAGCCATACATTTAATGTAAAATTAGGCATTGTTGCCTTCAGCCAAGATTGGCACAATCAGTGGCCCAAAGTAAGGTGCACTTAGGACACCTTGTACCTCATCAGAATTTTTTTTTGTGTGTTTTCCTTTTCAGGAGCTCTCAATTGTAATAAATACTCCTGAAATAAACACTAAACTTTGTGGGTGAGGGGCAACTTTACGTTTACACCCATGACTTTACCCTGGGATTGTGGACCGCATGAAGAGTGTGTCAGTCTCTCCAAGACTGTGGTAGCACACTCAAAGCAGCACGTTGAAAGGATTAAGTCATCCTGTCAGACCTTTAGGTTTCTTCCCAGACCCACGCACTGTGGATTTGGAAACAAAAATGAAGTCAAACATGTGGTTCCAGTCAGTGAGTTATGAATTGAAAGCCTCATAGCACATAACAGATGCTGCAATTGCTTTGTGGAGAAGCAATGCAGTATTTGTTCAGAAAGGCTGTGTTTAATCATCACAATTATGCTGTCAGTAAATCTACATTGGGGTTTATAAAGGGGATTGGTTAACTGATTGGACAATTTACCAACGTGAAGGTTTATCAGCAGTTAGTACTCTCCGCTGAGGATAGCTAATTCAGGTGCTGATTCTCTGATTTAGTTTCTGTGCCCTCACCCCATGTTAGGAGATCTTATTTGGCTCCTTTGGCCGATAATAAGATAATATTCTGTGTGAAATCAACAGGATTGAAGCTATGCACATTGAGGCATACCTTCCCTAACAGAAGTTTCTCTCAGTTAGTGCCTCTTCTTCGTAAGCAGTACCTATTCTGTCTGACATGAAAACTAAGTCTTGCCTTGCTCCACATACAACCATTCACTCTGGGTTCAGTAGTTAATTGAAACTGGCTAGTTGGTGCCAATAAAACTCTTCCTAGGTGGTTTGTTAACCAAGTTTCCACAGAGGGGAATTTTAAATGGTTAGAAATGCAAAATAATGTAATGAAACATAGAAATCCTTTACAGTTTATGAAAAACTACAGCTTTCAATATCCATTTTACAATTGGCTTTTTCTGCCCTCCTACACGTTTTCCCTCCTCAGGGGGAGGTATCTCACTGCATCTTGCTGTAGACTCTAGATTTTAAACCACTGGGTCCTTTGGTTAGGTTTCTGAGAGCTGAGAAGTCATAATATTAATAATAATAATAATAGGGGAATAAAAATCTTATCCCTACAGAACTTTCAATGGAAGTGAAGCCAGGAATATGTGAAAACATTTCCGATTGTATTTTCTAAAGAAAATGCAGAAGAGATATATTTTTGAATACAAAAGAGCTGAACAGAAGTTGAATATTCAGTTTGAAGTTTAATATTTTTCTTTCTGATTGCACTTCCTGCGCGCTTTTGAAGATTACTAGTTGTGTTTGCCAATTTTCTCCCCTCCTCCTCTCCTGTAGGGGTGTTGATTCCTACCGGGGTACGATTCCACAGACACATGACACTGGGTATATCAGCCAAGTGTCCGTTCATTGTGTGTGAGTGATGACGGGCTTGTTTCTGTGGAGGGCATTACAGCCAAGTTCAATCTTGTCCTTGCCCAATGTCCAGCCATGGTCAGTCTGGGAATTGAACCTGTGACCTGGCCTGTGTAGTGGTTTCTTTACCACCAATTCCATTGGGGAGAAGGTTGTTTAGTTATGTTCTTTATGGCCTAAAGCATTACATAGGGAGTGAGTGTGTTGTGTACACACAGGATTGTGCAATGCTAATCGAGCCCAGCTGTAGTTTTAATGCATGTTTCAAATCAAGCTCATACCTGTCTGTCCATGGTAAGGCTTGGCACCAAGCTATTGGTGTGGCAGTGGACCTCATGGCCTTGCAAGTCTGATGCATTCTTTGGATTGATCATTTGAAAGCTTTACCATTAATCTTAGTTCATTTCAAACAGAACTGAAAATGTATGCAGGTGAATAATGTATGTGTGTGTGTGAGGGGCCATTTGAAGCTGTGACTGTCCATTAGAGCAGTGAGTTCAGTCAGTCAATGAGCTGCATGTACACTAGTTGTTCTGTCTGTATGCTTAGAAGCCGATATTAAATAAATCACACGTGTGAAATATCTTGAGGATTTAAATTTTTAAAATGTGAGCTCGCCCCAACCTTTTTATTTACATTTATTAAGAACATTTATATACGCGCTTAATAGAACCAAGCATATATTTGTAAATAGTGACTCCTTCCTTTTATGTTCTAAGTAAAACATCTCTAGTCAGTGAAAAGCAAACACAAAGTTCCTACCATAGCCTCTTTGACATTGTAAATGTTGCGTGTAGGAACAGGACCATTTAGCGACTGTACAAATAGAGTGTGCTTTCCCGTGATCAGTTCCATTTCACGACTACATTCTGAACAATGGTTTCTTTCCAGACAAATTTTACTAGATTTTTAATTCTGCTTTTTGATTTAAGTTGCTCTTCCTATTTTTTACTTCTTGTTAAGTAAGCATTTTAAAAGGTGACTCCGATCTTAATGTCTGCTTTTTAATGTACCTGCTTTTTAATGTACCCAAAGTATTGTAGTTACAAGTGCACTTTTTATTTGGGGGAGAAAGTACTTAGTAAAGTGTTCTTTTCTGACGATTGCTGAAACACACCAGAGCGAGCTCTGACCCAGTCCCTATAATATTACGGTATTAGCTGAACAAAGCTGCCTCCTGATTATATCCGCTGCTGAGGCGAGGAGTGGGCAATGGGAAGTTTCAAGTCACTGGTACGTGTCTCAAAATGTAACTTGATTTGATTGAAGCTGAAAATCATAATGTCGAAAAATATTTTTTTATTACCTCAGAGGCTGGACAGATGCCTTTCTTACTGTAAAAACTGACTTGTTTGGAAGGATTGTTCTTGTGCAAATAATCGAAATAAACTGTTGCGACGAAGAAATCCCCCGATGTCGGCGATTTTTGTATCGTGTTTCTGGGTTCGCGATCGGCTGCTGCGTTTCACCCGCAAAATGCACAGTCGCTTCACTTTACGGTGTATCCTGTGAAGCGCTTGGAGACGGCTCTCGGTGACGCGATGGGGCGCGGTATCAAATGCCAGGATTATCATTATCATATTATTATCATCATTATCATCATTATTATTATTATTATTATCATTATTATTATTATCATTATTATCATTATTATTATCATTATTATCATTATTATTATTATCATTATTATCATTATTATTATTATTATTATCATTATTATTATTATCATTATTATCATTATTATTATCATTATTATATTATTATTATCATTATTATTATTATTATTATCGTTATCGTTATTATCATTATTATTTTATCATTATTATTATGTTATTATTATTATTATCATTATCATTATTATCATTTTATCATTATCATATTTTTTATTATTATTATTATTATCATTATTATCATCATTATTATTATCATTATTATTATCATTATTATCATTATTATTATCATTATTATTATTATTATCATTATTATCATTATTATTATCATTATTATTATTATTATTATCATTATTATCATTGTTATTATCATTATTATTATCGTTATTATCGTTATTATCGTTATTATCATTGTTATTATCATTATCATTATCATCGTTATTATCATTATTATCATTATCATTATTATTATCATTATTATTATCATTACTATTATCATTGTTATTGGTGACCGGTGGGGGCGGGGCTGAGGGCCGCCCTGTTGTCAGGGAAACGGCTCGGGACGCCGGACTGCTCTACGGCACTGTCGCAAAGCAGCACTTACTAAAGGCCGCGCCTGAGGCCCCGCGGCTCAGTTACTGCCCTCGGCCCCGGGGGTGACCCCCAGCGCCCGCCCCGGGCCCGCGGAGAGGAGGCAGATGGCGGCAAACTGGAGCACTGACACCGGCCCCGCCGTGTACAGGAGCCGGGACCCGCTCAAACACCTGAAAATCCGGTGAGAGGGGAGGGGAGCGGGGGGGGGGGGAGTGTGGGGGGGAGGAGGGGAGTGTGGGGGGAGGAGAGGGGGAGTGTGGGGGGAGGAGGGGGGAGTGTGGGGGGAGGAGAGGGAGTGTGGGGGAGGAGAGGGGAGTGTGGGGGGAGTGTGGGGGGAGGAGGGGGAGTGTGGGGGGAGTGTGGGGGGAGGAGGGGGAGTGTGGGGGGAGTGTGGGGGAGGAGAGGGAGTGTGGGGGAGGAGGGGGAGTGTGGGGGAGGAGAGGGAGTGTGGGGGGGAAATGGAGTGGGGGAGAGGGAGTGGAGGGAATGTGGGGGGGAGTGGGGGGTTGACGGTTCCCGCTTACCCCATCCGGAGGGTACGAGGCGCAGGTTAGTGGGGGCCGAGGCTCGGGGGGAGCCCCGAGTGTGCGTTGTCCAACCGACTAAACCCACATCGTGGAGTCCTGTAGCTCAGTGGTTGGAGCACTCGCCTCACAAGCGAGAGACCCGGGTTGGATCCCCGGCCACTCAGGGGGAGACCTCGGGCAAGTTTCCTTACCCCACACTGCTGATAGTAATCCCTCAAGAAAAAGAAGTAATAACAATTTGGTCACTTCAATCCATGACTGTTTGTGGGGACGCTGCTGTGCGCAATTGGCCGCCGCGTTTCGCCCACAAATATACAGTCAATTCACTTTACCGTCTATTCTGTGAAGCGCTTTGAGACGTCGAGAAGACGTGAAAAGCGCTATATCGAATGCAAGGATTATTATTATCGTTTGCCATTGATATTGCTGTCTGGCAAGCTTTCCCGCTGCCTGTTGCTCGGACCACCCAACCCGTTAGGGCTTTGGCTTGCAGGGTACCAGGAGCTGAGTGGGGGGATTCCCTGCCCTCGGTGACTGGTCTGCCTTGGAGAAATTGTAAGTGTTTTCAATCTCATTTTTGAACGTTTTAACTGCCAGAGTGTGGATTCAACGGATAACTCCCTCTACAGTCTTCTCTCACAAAGTTGAGCGCACAGCAACTCAGCCTGAACAGAGTAGCACGGAAATGGCGACATTCAAGAGCGCAAGTGAATTTGAAGCTTCAGGTAAGATTCAGGTCTGTCACACCCAACCCACCTCACTGCCGCGCTTCCAGGTCTACTCTAGGAACATCGTAACCGGAGCAGGTCATTCAGCCCCTCGAGCCTGATCCTCCATTCTGTTAGATCATGGCTGATCTGTACCTCAACTCCATTTAATCTGCCTTTGCTCAATATCTCTTGATACCCTTACTTAGCAAAATGCTACCTTTAGTATAGAATACAGCTTGCACTATTACGTTGTAGCCTGACGCAGCACAGAACCTGGCCATTTTGCCATTAAAGCTATACTCGTATTTTTCTCCACACAGATGGATTAATAAATAAATAAACAAACAATTGGGTAAAACCCACTCAGCTGCTCACTCCCTCTACCTTTCAATATTCCTCCCCTATAAGCATCTGTCTATAGTGAAACTCTGATAACTAGCCTGTGGGATAAGTAGTTAACGAGTCACTCATTCAATATTCCGGCTATTCGAGTACGTTTGAGATACTGTACTGATAACTAATCTCTGATCAATAGTTATTTGAGCTGTTTCTGGTCTACAATTGTTTGTTGCTTTTTCTGTCAGGTGGTTTCCGGCCCGATGATCAGGAGGAGGTTGTGGTGGGCTGGCAGGAGAAACTATTCAGCCAGGTAACTACCAGTCGCTCAATCTTTCCACCATTTCTGTCCATGGAATGAGATGTTAAACCAAGTTCCCATCTATCTGACTTTAAAGTTCCCATGACCAGTGTTCGAAAAGGGAAGGGAATGTCTCTCAGTGTTGGACAAAGAATTCTCCAGATTGATGAGTAATTGTCAACCTGTCTGCTCCCTTCACTCAGCAGGCTCCGGCCTGCTCCACGTAGCTTGACTGTCCAGCACGTTGGGACATCCTCCCGATGTGAAAGGCGCTGTCTGGAACTCCATCCCACAGTCCCTTCGCCTCGCCTCCTCTCTTGCCTCCTTCAAGGCCAGTGTCAAGACCCTTCTCTTTGATGGTGCCTTTGGTCTCCCTCCCATTTCTCTGCCTTCTCTCACCCCTACACCACCTCTCCCCCATGCTCGGGCCCCGACACCTGACTGTTCAGCGCTTTGGGACGTCCTCCTGATGTGAAAGGCACTCTATAAATGCAATTTTGTTGTTGTTGTCACAAAGTTGTCTTTGTTGTAAGATTGTTCTCCAGGACGGCTTCAGTGTGACGGATGGCTGTGACCCATTTCTTGCTGTTGCAGTTTGAGATTGACCTGTTCAGGAGCCAGGCTGCGTGTCAGAGCCCCCTGGACCTGCAGTACCATAACGAGATCCTCGGGCTGGAGAGCACCGGGTACAGGAAGAACCAGAGAATCTTCACCTACACAGACTTCGACCGCTACACTAACACCGAGGAGGTAAGAGAGCTCGCTCCTCCACAGTGAGAGGCAGGGACACAGGAATCGAGGGTGGGGGGAACATCAAAACAGGAGGGGGCTATTCAGCTCCTTGAGCCTGTTCCACCATTCTATAAGATCATAGCTGATCTGTACCTCAACTCCAATTACCCGCCCTTGCCCCATATCCTTTGATACCCTGACCTAACAAATATCTAACCACCTTAGTCTTGAAGCCAGGGATCAGCACATCTCTTGTTTTCTAGCACTCTCAATCCGTGACCACATCTAGCAGAGAGGAGCCACTGTACCTGGTGGAGAGGATGGCACAGGTTCGCCGTCGGAGGCATGATCGTAGGACCACGTGAGTGTAGCTTCCCAGCCAGACACAATCCACAATAAATGATATCATTTTGATCTGGGTCTCAAGATGCCGCTGTCACCCTCCCACACCTCCTGATCCCAACCTCCAGCTCGGGTCCAATTCCCTGACTGTGCAGCACCTTCGGACATCCTCGTGACTTGAAAGGCGCTGTATAAATGTTATTTGTTGTTGCTCGAAGTTGCCATACATTGTATAATCTGTGGGAGAATGTCTGTAACCTTTCTGTTCCTCTCTAGGGAAGGCAGCATTCCCAAATCACGCATCATCACCTGGGAGCCCTCCAAGGACTTTATGAGGAACAGCCATGTGCTAAACACGCCCATGCAAACCATGTACATTATGGGAGATCTGGGACCCTACGGCAAGTGAGTGAATCCCAGCCCAGCTCTTCACCTCTGGAGGTTTCTTGGAAGGCGAACAAAATGGATCTTCCTCTTCTTTCACTGAGCAAATTATTATGTTCTTATGTTGGGGTAAAGCTCCATTGATCATGGTGTTTTTCCGTTGTCTTCAGGCTGGGACACCGGGAGCACGAGTACGTCCTGTGCACCATCAAAGTGGATAACAACGGGGTGATCATTGTGAAGCCGGACTTCAGTGGCAGCAAAGTGCCATACAGGTCAGCTTGCTCTCTGCCCCAACAACGCCCCTGCCCTGAACCGCCAGGCCACTGTTACAATACGGTGTGGAGTCCGCAGCCCAGTGTTTAGTGCGTTTGTCTCACAAGGGAGAGGACCTGGGTTTGATTCCTGGACAGAGCGAAATGTTAGGCAAGCTTCCTTACTCCACATGTCTGTTTACCTAGCATAAGTAGGAACCTGCTTATTAGTCGATTGGCGGATCACTTTCCGGAGGTAATAATCCCCCCCCCAAAAAACTTTTATCACGTAATCCACGACTGTTTGTGGGACGCTCCTGTGCGCAATTGGCTGCTGCATTTCGCCCCCAAAATATACAGCCAGTTCACTTTACAGTATATCCTGTGAAGCGCTTTGAGACTCGAAGACATGATAAGGTGCTGTATCAGATGCAAGGATTATTAATATTATGAATGCATTATGAATACACCATGAGACGGTCCGGCATTACACCCGCATAAACCTAAAGTGACTGGTCTCCGGTTTGCCATCTCCTACTTATGTACAGCGTTGATGTTTATGAGCAGCTTGGAGACTGAGGGAGAGAAGCGGGACCTGTGGCTGTACACCATCAACGACGTGTCGGTCACAGCCGCACGCGAGGAGCAGGAGAAGGAGCAGAACCTTTACAAAGATGTAAGAAGTAACACCGCAATCTTCTGTGTGTTTGCCTCATCTTTATTTTCGCCCACAGCATAGTCACTACACTTTACAGTATATTCTGTGAAGCGCTTTGAGACGCCTGGAAGACGTGATAAGGCGCTATATCAAATGCAGGGATTATTATTGTTACATTGCTTTCTTAAAGCTGACTGTCTGTGGACTGATTAATTGACTTGATTACTTTATCGTATCCTCGACTTTGATACATAATCTAGTTTCACTTTCTGGGGGGTGTAAAACATGTATTACAAAAAGCTTGTATATGACCAGTTTATGCTAGTTATAGCTGTCTGTAAACTAGTTATACAATAGCCAGAGTCACTGTGCTTGAAGTAATCTCACATAATCAGTCAGGCTGACAATGATAACTCACCTGCATTTTCAATGCTTTGAAAACGTCTGTTTTCATGAAGTCTCTTGTTTCTGTAGCTTTACAGCAGACACAAAGAATATCTCACCACTTTGGTGGGGATAGAGTTTGAAACTGTAAGTATGCTTTTGAATAGTGTCCTGGGACATAACCCAGCATGAGGAGCGTTATATAAATACAAGTTGTTGTTGAATATCCACCTTATTTCAGAGCTCACATCATTACATATGTTATGCTGAGCCGGGTGTCTGGTACGTGCGGAAACCGATCACCATACTTAAGAGTCTACAAAGATACTCGTACATGAGTTTGTGTGCAGCATGTAGCTCCTCTACAGTAAATGCACTGTGTTCTCAGAGCTTGTCTTTCAGAGGATGTGTTTAAACTGAGATCCTGTCTACCTGTTCAGCTGGGTGTTACAGAGCCCACAACACCAATCAAAAAAAGAGAAGTTTTTCTTGGTGTCCTTGCTTGGGACGTCCTTACGATATGAAAGGCACTATCTAAATGTAATTGTTATTTTCCTGGCCAACGATTGTCCAGATTAATTGGTGGTTCCCCTCATTGCTGTTTGTTGGATTTTGCTGTCATGTTTTCCTACAAACACAGCCACTACATTTGACAGCAATTACTTGTGAAGCTTTTTTAAGAGATAGTGTTTGCCAGTGATTTTGTAAAAATGTAAGTTAATTGCTCTCATTTGACTGATTCACTCATTACTCTTGCAGCCTCCACTTGGCATTCTTCAGCTAATAATAAATGGTGAAATTGGTAAGTCCATTTTAGTTCATGTGGGTATCTGTGCCCTTCACATTACTCTCTACAAGCTATTCTCTGTGTCCTCTCAGAACTAAGGCCTGGCTCTGGATGAGATTTAAAGTTTGCTTTTACTCGTTGCCTATGGTGTTACTGAAACCAAGTAGGAAAGATTGCAGGTTGACTCAGTGTATACCCTCCTGCTGGGGTACACGACTCCAGTGATGCATCCGACACAACATGTGTTGCTATTCCTGGACAAATAGGTCCCAGGTCTGTCTGTGCTGCGCTGACCAAGCTTCAGGGGCTCGGGTGAGAAGTGAGTGGGAAGTTTTGTCACAGGACTGGCAATGAGGTTTACACAGTGAGTCAGGGAGGATTCCCTTCTACTGTGCTTTTCTGAGAGCACTGTGTGAAGGAGGGTGTGTGTGCAGGATGGCCTGAATCTGGGAGTGTTTGTGGCTGACTAGCGGGGGGAAGGTAGGGATGGGAGATGAGGCACCTGAAGGGAATGGAGAGAGTGGGTTTCAGGGAGGGCTGAGTTGAGAGCACGAGGGCGCTGGGCTGCGGGTGGCTCTGTTAAGGGTGCGCTGACCACTGGGTTTTTTCAGTCTCCGCACAGGACTATGACTACGACAATCTATATGTGCACTTCTTCCTCGAGCTTCCAACCAGTGAGTATGTTACAGTGGGTACAGCCCTCTCTCACTACCTTTACCCCACACTCTCTCTCTCTCCCCTCTTCTCTTAACCCCCTCTCTGCCCCTCTGCCCTAGTCTCTCCCAGGTCACAAAAGGTTACTGTAACATACACGGCTGGTGCTGTCTGACACAGATATGACCTGTTGTTTGAGGAATCTAAAATGATGTCATGTATTTGTCTACAGAATGGTGGAACCCTAACAATCAGCAGCTCTCTGGAGTGACTCAGACTTGCTCTACCAAAGTCGAGGGCCAGGTAAGGAGCTCAGGAGCCAAGGTTTACGGTTTTGTAACCCTCACACTGGCCTCCGGCTGAAGGTCACAACTTCACCTAAATTCTCTTCTAGATCTCCTCGTCGCTGTCTTATACTTGTGACCCTGTTACAGACTCCCCAACCAGGGGAAACAGCCTAATCATGCTAACCTTATCAAATCCTTTTATACTGTTATAAACACTATTAGATAATCTGGGATTGTTAACGCCGAGCTGAGCAGGTGTAAGTGCTCTTGTCTTTTACAGGCCAGTGTGGCGTACTTTTCATACCCATTCAGCTTTGAAGTGGGCTACAGGAATGACGATCAGCCTGAGGGTGAGTGTCAGGCTAGGTGTGCACTGGAGTCCAGCTCCACATTGCTCAGTGTCCTGTTGGATTCGGACCTGAGATGACCATAAAAAAGCCGCGTGTTACTGTGTTGCGGCCACTGTGAACCGTATACACCCAGAGCAGTACACACACGGCCTGTGTTTGCTTCCCTGTAGCGTGAGAGTCAGTAAGCAAGCGAGCGTGGGGAGGGGTGGGGCGCATGATCATGATGGGGTAGGAGTGAATGAGCGAGGAGAGTGTGAGAGGGGAGAGTCAGTTTTTCTCTGAGTTCAGTTGAGGTCTATATTTGTAGATTGGCTGCCACATTGGCCGGTGCTGTACTTTGAGGTTCTGTCACTGGATTTCTGGCAGCGATACCGTACTGAGGGTTACGGCTACGTCAACATTCCCATCAGTCCTGGTGAGTAAATTCTACTGACCTCAATCATAGCAACACAAGCATTGCCGCACTGTGTAATAAATGACCCCGTTTCACCCGAATAATATATAATTCACTTTGCAGTATATTCTGTGAAGCGCTTTGAGACGGCTCAAAGATGTGATAAGGCCCTATATCAAGTTCAAGGATTATTATTATTTGAGCAGGTTGTCACACGCTGACGTGCCAGACCTGGAGACCGGTGCAGCCCGGGACATCAGAACTCCGGCGATTTTTTATTGGAGGTTCCCCTGAGTTGGAGGACATGACCTACGTTCGGGTGCCCAGCACCTTCAAGGTGGGCCTGAACTCCCCATTCACTAACCTCTCCATTCAACCCCAGTGTTGTAAATCTATTACAAAACAGGGACTGTTGTCAAGCATCAGACACACTTTTAATGACATTTTAATTTGCTGAATTTCAGGGAGAACGACTGAGTCGATTTGGTTTCAGAACACAAACCACAGGAAGTGTTACCTTCAAGTTAAACTGCATCCAGCAATCCAGGTCAGTGATTCATTGTGTGTAACTGTGTGGGACTGTATGCGTAACATGTGTTGACGTTTGTGTCCTCTCTTCACAGAGACTTTGTAAGTCTGAGCACAATGAGGGAGCGGCGACAGAATATTCTGGAGCGTCTGGGATCCTCCACACAACAGACCTCTGTCCAGGCTGTGCTGGGTACGTCTGTCACTCTCTCACCTAGTGATTGTCGCACCCCATTGTGGAGAAGGGGATGAGAGAGAGGGGGTGAGAGAGAGGGGGGTGAGAGAGGGGGGGTGAGGGAGGGGATGGAGGTAGGGGGAGGGAGAGAGGAAGAGTGGAGTTGCTTCTCTAGTGAGTTGAGATTGGCAATTGGGTGTACCCTGATCAGACTGGGAGATGGTAGGATGGGATTGATGAGAGGAATAAATGGATAAGGACCTGGAAGTGGAAATCAAACTTAAATCTTATCAGCAAAGATGAAAATCACCAAAAACGAAGGGGGGGTGGGGGGTGGGAGAGGGAAATTCAGCTCCTGTTTGATCACCTACGTCATTGTAGGAAGCTCTGTGGCCAGTTGCCCACCTTGACTGTCTCACAATCTCTCCCTCACACAGAGGCCTTCCAGAAAGCTCAGCGCCGAATGCAGGCAGCACGAGAGAATCTTCCCAAAGACTTGATTAGCACATCTGTTTCCACTGTGTTTTAGTTCCCGTTGCGAGAAGCAGGCAGCGGCAGACAATCCCACCTCACAGCAAGCGGGGTGCATGCACTGGGTTTCCTGAAGGCTGGAAGCATTCCCTGGTCACTCTTGTCTGTGTCCCCTACAATCTAGCTTTTGTGGGACTCCATCTTGAGTGATAATCAGGCAGGACCCGTTTCTCTGTGCCGGCCACCAGCCTGTTCTGATAGGGTGAGGCTCGTGCTCGCTCTGTAGTGACCAGGCAGTCAGTCTGGCCCCAGCAAGTAATTGACAACTGATTTAACATCATGGGCTTGCAGTACTGCGTCATTCAACAGTCTTAAAAAGCATATGGCAATTGCTGGGTGCAGTCAAGAAACCGCGTGAAGGGTCCAGTGTGTCTTCTGTAATCTTTCCCATTTTCTGGCTTAAACCGTTCAGTCTTTCTACAGTTCTTGCCTTGGAACCGGTCACATTTCTGAACGCTTTTGGCTGCTCACGTCCGAACGTCTGTCCTTTCAAACCAAGATAAGGGCGATGGACAGCCCACCTCACAGCTGTCAGTTACTGCAGTGATCAGCTTCCTCGCTGCTGCTGCTGCTGCTGCTGCGCGTAGTTGCACTGTGACCTGTATAGCTTTGTCCTGTGTTTTGTATTGGAGCCACACTTCTGTAATTTGTATTTTAATGTGTATAAAATCTGTATTCGCACCGATCTGGTTACCCGCGTAGTGCTTTCCTGTGAGAGGTTTGAATCTCGATCTCGTTTGCGCGGTGGCGGTGGGGGTGCGGCGGTGGGGGGGTCGCTGCCCTGCGCCATCGGCCGCCGCGTTGCACCCACAAAACAAAACAAGTGGCCGCACTTTACGGAGTGTCCTGTGAAGCACTTGGGAGACGTTTCGAAGATGGTGATAAGGCGCTGTATATCCAATGCGAGGATCATCATCATCATCATTATTATTATTAATCATTGCACACTACAGGCTTCCACTGTCGCTTTGAGAGCAGATTATTCCTGACCTGAGCTTCCCCCTCATTAGCTCAGGGCCCGCGGTACCCCCCCCCTCCCCTCCATCAGGGTGTGTGGGAGCCCTCAGTCACTGCTGTGGTGACCGTTAAACCGCCGCTCCGTGCGGCGCAACCGCACGTGCTGAGCCGCTGCGCCTCTTCGAATGAATGACAGCTCAGGCGGCCAATCAGCACCAGCGGCTCACTGACACACCCCCTCCCACCCACTCGCCCGCCACCGGATAGGCTGATGCTCAGCGGGCCCCGCCCCCCCTCAGCAAGTTAGGTTGCGCCATTACACGCCGCAGAGAACGGTTTTTGAATTTTTTTAAAAAAATGTAAAGTCATTCGAATTCGATGGGAACGTGGGACCGTAAGCGCATCACACGGCGCCCATTCGGTACAAAAGGGCCATCCCCCGGCCTCGCCTCACCTCCCGCGCCGGCGATGCTTTTTTTTGTCAGCATTGCTTTCCAGACAGAAACCCCGCGCTCGGCGAGCGGAAGTCGGTCATAACTGACAGGGCCGCCGGTCAATGGGCGGGCGCCGTGCCGAGCAGTGGGCGGGCGCCGTGCCGAGTGAGCGACAGGCCGGGGAGGCGGGGCTCGGGCGAGCGAGCAACAGCGCTCGGGGGCGGGCTTTACGAGCTGTGGGAGATTGACAAGCAGTCAGCCAATCGGAAGGCAGCTTTCGGTGTCCGGAACCCGCAGAGCGGGAGTGAAGGGCAGAGCAGCCAATAGGGAGGTGGACAGGCGCCGAGGGAGCCAATAGGCGAGCGCGAGGGGCGGGTACGTCCGGTGCGGGGCGGACGAGAGGGAGGGGGCGCGCGCGACGGCGGAGCGGAGCAGCCGGTATCTCGAGAGCGGGGGCCGCGGCCGAATCCCGCCATTTTTAAACTCGTGAGGTGAAGCCGCGGACAGGCGGAGCCGATAGGCGCTTCGGCCCGTCAACTACTGTCGCCGTCAGCGGCCGGAGCCCCCCGGGGGGGGAGTCGGCCCTTCACCAGCGATGGCGCCGCTGCTCGGCAGGAAACCTTTCCCGCTGCTGAAGCCTCTCGCGGACTTGGCGCCAGGAGAAACCGTCTTCGTGATCGAGCACAGCGGAGAGTGCTTCAGGAGTCAGGAGTATCCTCTCACCCTCACCCTCGCCACGGGCCGGGACTGGGGTTAGCGGGGGGCGGGGGGGAGAGAGCGGGGACTCGGGGTTCTGGTCCTCCCCCCGAGGGACAAGGCCCAGTCAGCCTTTAGCGCCAGGCCCCGCCCGCCCGCCCGTCCTCACTTGGAGTCGGTAGTTTATTCAGTCAGACAGTCAGCCCTTGGCCTGACTCTGCCGCCGACTGCACTGTGGCACTGACTGACTGACTGACTGAGATGCTCCAGGTCGAGGAGACGGCAGTTTCCCCCCTCAGTCCGGGACGGGTTGTCATCGCTCGGTGTCAGACAATGTCCCGGACACTCGCCAAGTTTAGCCATTGTGGGGAGGGGAGGCTGGTCCCCGCCAGGGATGGGCCTCTGCTCCTGAACCCCCGGACAGCGGAGAGCGAGTGCGAGAGGCGGATCTGACTCGCAGCTCCAGATTTGAAGTTCACTTTACAAAGAAAGTCCAGGAATCACCGCATCCCGATTCATATTTAACCCCTTCCACACCCTGAGAGGTCCTTTGGAGCTGTCAGGTTTTGTTTGGCATCCTAACCAGTGACACGGGCAGGCTGGGTGCGTTTCTTCTTACAATAATAATCCTTGCATTTGATGTTGTGCCTCATCAAGTCTTCCAGACGTCTCAAAGCGCTTCACAGAATTAGACTGTAAGGTGATTTGACTGTATGTTTGTGGGCGAAGCGCGGCAGCCAATTGCGCACAGCAGTGTCCCCACAGACCGTTGTGGATTGAGTGACCAAATTATTATTTATGAAAACACTTACACCGAGTTTTCACTTTGACAGGAACATTTTTGATTTAAGGGGGAATATTTTCAACCTGAAGTTGAATTTGGGGTAAAGAGCTTAACAGCCAGGGCTGGCCACTGTACAGTTCTTCACTTTGTACAAGTGGATGTTTCAGTAACTTTCGGATTTCCTATCAATTCAAGCAGTTGCTTGCTTTCTTTAAAAAAATGATTTTTCTCTATATATTTAGTATGCTCGCATGTGTAAGGTGTTGGAGATTGGCATCGTCCCTTCCAGTGCATCTGCAACACTGCAGGTAGCTGTTTATCACACTTGTCCTTTTGGCCTTCACTGAAGGAGGCTGCATTTACCAATGTCTCTGTGTGTAAGCCTGTTTAAGGGATTGTCGTGTTTGGGCAACGCGTAAAGCGATTGCTACTGTCTGATCTTCAACAAAGCATACGTACAAGATGAAATCCTTGCATAAGTGCCAGTTCATTGCTGCTTGTTTTATCATAACCTCAGCAAAAAAGCCTTGTTAAATTTAGTCTCTAAATTTCCATTTTCCTCTTTATTTATTGTTGCGTCTCAGCTGGTCACTGCGACCATGGCCTACCAATGTTAACCCCTTCCATGGCTCAAGTTATATATAGGTTTGAACAACATGCCCTCTGGCAGACTTTAAGCCTATGTATAGGTTTCACTGTTATTTATGGAATCAACTAGAACAAAGTACTGTCTGTGTGAACTGCATCAGCAAACCTGCTTCTGAGGCTGGTGTTTCTGTTTGTAGGGATCTGATAAGAAAGTTTTTAATGTTAAGATTTTAGAGCTCAGGGGCAGTGTATACACAAAATATACAGTCATTTTACAGTATATTCTGCTAAGCACTTTGAGACATCTCAAAGGCATGATAAAGCGCTGTATCAAATGCAAGGATTATTATTATAGTTGTCCAGTGTTGGGAGGTTTGCCTGATATTTGAATTTGATAACTTTTAGAATATTCTCTGTTTTGTTTTTATTGTTCTCTGCAAAAGTACCCAGTTCTCTGTGTTAACTGTTTTGATACATCTAGTTTAATCATGAGGTGTGAGTAACATTATGGAAGTTGGAAGAATATTTGTTTTGGGATGAAGTTCAGCACGAGGACTTGCATTGGCTTCCTGTCCATTGTGATAGACTAGGGTAACAGCCCCTGACCCTTGGGTGTTTTTTTGTGTGTCATTTGTAGTTCATGGAGCCATGTACAATGTCCCTTAGGAATTGATAGTTGTGGTATATTGAGTGTTTTAGCAGCGCTCCTGTAATCGTGTTCCAGAACTGAATCTTGGCTTTTAAAAAGGCAACATTTTATTTGGGTTTAAGCGAGAGGCACACAGTCTGGGTCATACACCACAGGGAGACCTGTGCTTGAGCAGTACTGAAAAAGGAGATTCTCTGTCTACATGCGCAGCATGTGCTGGGAGGAGCTTTACAACCCCTATAATGTGAAAGTGCTTACTGTTATCTGAAGTGGCATTTCGTAGACAAGCTCACAAGCCATTTTACGCACAGCAGAACCACTCAAACAACCATGCTGTAAAATGCATGAGGTGAGACTGATTATTAGTTTTACTTTTGGCTGTAGCTAATTCAAAACTCCACCTTACCTGCACCAAACTCTGCAAACCAATCACCCCAGTACTCGCCAGGCTCCACTGTCTCCCAGTGCTGCACTGGAGTGTCAGTCAAGACTGGCCTCTAGTCCTGAAGTGCGACTTGAACCACAAGCTTTGACTTAGAAGCATGAGTTTTTTCAACTGAGCCACGTTGGCACATGTAAAGGTTCTCTATTTTTAAGCACTTACTCAGTGTGCCTTTAAGCACACCTACGGCCACCTTCCCCCTCCCACTGGCTCGGCCTCAGGCTCCGCCATTGTTAAGTGCTCTGAGACGCCACCCGGCGTGAAGGGCGCTGTATAAATGCAAGATGTTGTTGGTCCTCAAATTTCATGCAGATAAAACGTTATTAGCAGTTCAGACATCTGTGGAGAGGCTAGGTAGGTTTCTTCATGTAATAAATATGATGCATATTAAATTTCATTTTAAGATTGATTGAACTGATTTTATCTTCCATCAATTATTGTGATCTTTGAAAAGTTCCTAAAATACAATTTTGTGTTTGAACAAGACGAAGTTCGGTGAAGTGACTTGATTTATCGAACTTGCAAATCTTCCAGAGACAGATTGTTTGTGTGCTTTGCGGAATACTTCTATTGTCCTTAGAAGCTGTTGACGTGTGTTGTGCAGGCACCAATAACAGCTTTACAGAAAGTATTTCCGAAAAAGGATTTATTCCATAAATAATTATTCAATTTGTATTCATGCCACGAAAGGCGCTTTACAAATGTACTCTTGTTGTTGATGATGATGTGCTGGTATTTTTATTTCAATAATTTTTAGTGTTGGGACTTGGAATCGCATAGTCTAAGATGACACTCCGGTGCTGGGGTGGGGTGTTGCATTGTTGGAGGTGCCATTCTTTGGACTACAACAACAACAAGATTACATTTGTATAGCGCCTTTCACGTCGGGAGGACGTCTCAAGGCGCTGGATTAGACGTTAAACCAAGGTCCCATCTAATGGTCAGGTGAATGTTAAAGATCCCATGGCACTCGTGGTATCCTTTGTTCCCTCTAATAAAATGGGTCACTCACTCCTTAGCTATTTGTAGGACACTGCTGTGCACAACTGGCTCCTGCATTTCACTCACAAAATACTGTCATTCCACTACAGTATATCCTGTGAGATGCTTTGAGATGTCTCGATGAACTGATGATCCGCTATATCAAATACAAGGATTATTATTAAAAATGCGGCCCGTCTTTTCTCATAATTCCCCATCCTGTGTTTCCAGCTAAGGTGGCAATATTGGGCTAAATCCTGTGGTGGATTGACAAGGAATGAGAGTGTGACCCTGCTTTATAGATGTGGCATATAAATGACTATTTATATCCTTTTGTCTAAACCCCAAGTTGATTATTTTCCTGAGCCACTACTTTTCTTCAGAGAATATGACATTCGACTGGCCAGGTACGAGGAGCGAATCTGGACGTGTAAAAGCACAGGCAGCAGTCAGCTCACACACAAAGAGGCCTGGGAGGAGGAGCAGGAAGTGACCGAACTGTGAGTAACTGTCAGTTTCTAAAGTACAGTGTACATGACCTACTGAGTCATTTGGAATCTGTTTACCTGGTACTGGCTGAATGCCTCAACCAAGCAGTTTAAAAATAAGAGGAATGGTTGGTTAGCTCATTGCTGGGAAGTTCTGCTTCTGGTTTATTGCAAATGGTTTACTGGCCCATTGCACGTCACCATGTAAATGCATTGTTTCTTGCTCAGCATTTCACTTTGTGGCATTCCAGATGATAACCTCAAATTCAGACGTGTGTCTTGAATCTAATGAGGTGAGAATAATAAATAATCATAATAATATGATATAGCGCCTTATATCTCCAAGATGTCTCAAAACTCTTCACAGAATAATAATAATCCTTGAATCTGATATAGTGCCTTATCAGATCTTCGAGACAATTTGTTGTTGTTGTCTCAAAGCGCTTCACAGAATATACAGTAAAGTGAATTGACTATATTTTGTAGGCAGCCAATTGTGCTGTCAACTGAGTCAGGATACCAGTTGATCGAATGATGATGCTCCGGGATGTTACCCGCGTGAAGGGCGCTATATAAATGCAAGTTGTCGTTGTTGTTGAAATAGTAGTTCAGTCCACAGAGTGTCAACACAAGCAGGTTAGCGGAGTAAGCCCGGGTTTTCCAGTTTCCTTTAAACATTCCAGTCCAACTGTTTTTTTTGCTAAGGCCAGTAATGTGACTCGTACGTCATTCAATCATACATAGACCAGAATATAGGAAAAAACACAGGGAAGTAAAACTCCCCAAAATAGCGCTGATCCCTAAATCACAGTTGTACAAACAGGATCTGTTGATATCCTTCAAAGTGGGATAAATTGAATACCTAGGTCTGAAGTGAGCATAGTTCACCATTCAGAGGGAAAATGCCACTCTGCCCTTCTCTTTTCTTCCTCTCTTTCCCCCCCCTCCCAGCGCAGCATAAAAGAGAATTAAGGAGCAGGAATGTTGTGATCAATCTGTTCATGGCGTAGTGTGAAACTTTGTACAAGGTCTTTATTGAAAATTGGGAGTGATTTCAAGCTGTGATCGGTTAAGTTGGTTAAAATACCTTGAAGAACCATTGGATTTATTTTAAACCATACAGCCCCTGCAGTTAGATGTGTGTTAGGGTACAGGCGCTCCCTGGTGGTGCTGTGTGTTGTTTTGTGTTAGTATTTGTTTGACAACAACTGTCAGTATCTTCATGTCAGTGTGGATGATAGCTCTTGGCACAGTTATCGATAGTGAAGGAGTTACTTATTTGTTTATAGAAATACTCAATACGCTATATCAAATGCAAGGATTATTATTCTTTAGTGCAGTTGGCGAAGTGGAAGTATTTCTAATCCCAAGTACTTTCTCTCCCTATTCGTGTATCATTTCAACAACAACAACAACAATTTCCCACATACAACTAATGTTTTTAACGGTGTTTAGTGTTTTGTTTGTGCTGTTTGTGGTTGGTGTTTGAGAATGGAGTTTTTGGCACCATATGACTAACATCTTGGAAGTTCTAGATCAGGTCCAGCTGGGCAGACCTCCACACAGCCTTCAGAAACAGACTCTGCTGTGTGTGGCTGCTCCTCCGATAAGAAATTTCTCTCGCTTGTAACATACATTTTTGATAGAGATGATTTTAAGCGCTTTGCAGTTTGTCCGCCTCCCTTCCCACTCAGGCGTTCCCATTGAAACAGAAAAAGTCTTTGTGTTGGGCTCCTGATGGCCACTTTTGTTTCTGTATTTCCCCCTCATTCAGCCCCAAATTGCAACCAGCATATCCGCTTGCAATTTATGGGTTTGAAACTTAATGAGAGCTGCAGAGGATTGGGGGCTCTTATTTGTGGGACTATCTGAGTTTACACCTGAAGGATAAAGTCCTGGTGTGAGGTCGTGTGAAACAGTTTGACTGAAGTGTGATGGGTTTTGCTGGTTAGGTGCCACCTCGTGGAGGAGTGGGGTATGATTATTTCAAACGCTGACCAGCCAAGCGTTTACCAGACGCACCACAGGACAGATACAGTATGGAAAAGAAAGTTCAGGACCGGAGAAAACTTAGACACGTTGATCCTGAATTATCACAAATTTTAGGTGGGGGAGAAAGGGGCTGTTTTCCACACACATTAAAAGGTAGCTCAGGGTTTTTAACATTTATTCTTGATGTGCTGCAATTCTGTGCAGCGCGTACAAATACTGGCCCTCGGGGATGTTCAGGAGACAAAAGTTGCAGCTTTTTTTGGGGGGGGAGGGATGTCTGACACATGCTGTGTGTTTAAAACCACAGAAAATGACTGATGTCAAAATATTCTTTCAAGTGAACTAGGTGGAAAGTTTAACTCGGCATCTTTCTTCCAAATTACAGTCAATGAGGGGCATATATTTTGTTTGTTGTTGCTAATTAGCTTTTGGGTGTAGCCGAGGTCACTCGGATTGTGAGGGGTGAAGGGGATTGTATGTGCCTTGCAGACGTACACTGAAAATACTCTCCACACTGAATGACTGATTGTAATTGATTCTCTGCATTGTGTTTGACAGACTGAAGGAGGAGTATCCAGTTTGGTTCGAGAAGCCTGTGTTAGAAATGGTTCATCACAACACAATCTCGCTGGACAAGCTCGTTGACAAAACGTGGATGGAGATCATGACCAAGTTTGCTGTTGGAGAGCAGTGCGAATTCCAGGTAAGACTCAGACGTTTGTCCATTGGCTCAGTAACTGTGTTATCTGGAGATGCCGTGAGCATATAGAGAGGAATGTCAATGGTTCAATCCCCAGCCTCTGTTGACTGTCTTACCTGGCTTGACAGTGATGTGCTATGATTGCCTCTGTGTCAGCTAAAGTGATGGTGGTACAATTGGACAAGTCCATACAGTTCATGGTTCTAAGTGAAGAACAAGCTAATGAGTGGTAACCCAATGAGGTATAAACTTTTTTTGTGCTCCTTGTTGAATAGGTCGGGGAAAACAAGATCCTTCAAGTGAAGGTGGTGAAAGTACATCCTTTGGAACCAAAGGAAGAGGAATCTTGTGAAAAGAAAACTGATGGCACATGTGACTCTCCTTCCAGTGATAAGGAGAATTCCAGTCAAGCAGCACAGAACAGCTGTGGCCTGGATGTCTCCAACAAGGTTGAGGAGAACAAGCGAGATTGTAATGCCAGTACGTGTCTGGGTGTGTTACTATTTGTAATGTTGCGTGGGCAAGTGGGGGTGGGGGGACGCAAATTGTCTTACCAGGAGGATAACTGGTGGCTTTGATTATGGCTGTGGACATTTATCTGCTTATACTATAGATTTTATATACTATGACATTCACGACTGTTTGTGGGACGCTGCTGAGCGCTATTGGCTGCCGCATTTTGCCCACAAAATATACAGTCAATTCACTTAACAGTACATTCTATGAAGCGCTTTGAGACATCTCGAAGACGTGATGAGGCTCTATATCAAATGCAAGGATTATTATTATTTTATTGGATTACAACCTGGCTCTTGGTTTACTGTGTAACTCAACTAGATTGTATTCTATCCTCTTGTTATTTTGATTGCATGCACTCATTGTTAGCTAAAAGTTAGCACTCGATGGCTGATTGTACAAGTGGTTCTCATAGAATAGTGTAGAAAGTAAACTGGGGTGCTGTGTATTCATTTAAAAAAAATAAAACTGCTTATGTTGCAATCATCAGGTGACCGAGCTCGACGATCGCCACGGAAGCTGCCCACAAGCCTCAAGAAAGAAGAAAGGAAGTGGGTGCCTCCAAAATTCCTGCCCTACAAGTATGATGTGAAACTCGAGAAGGAAGACAAGGTGAGAAGAGTTTGGGTCTGAAATCCTATGAAAAACTCTACACTTTGATCCACAAACAATACAGATATATGAACTCAGATTTACAGTTCTCAGACAAGTCTGCCCGTGGGGATGATTTATAATGTAAAACGTTTGAATTTCGGTAGCCAGGCCCCGTTTGGCGTTGTTGCTTTTGTATATGAGCTTCGAGTCCATTGGGAGGAGCATTGGGTATACGATCCCTTCTAGATGTTTCAGCACTTACGCCAAACATTGCATTAAGTATCCATCTGAACTCTTGTGTTTTTATTTTTTACTTTAAAATAATAGTTCCTACAAACTAACCGTGTCTCCCGTGGCTCTAGATAATCAGTAACGTACCAGCTGACAGCCTCGTTCGCTCCGAGCGGCCCCCCAACAAGGAGATCCTGCGCTATTTCATCCGGCACAACTCGCTGCGGATGGGAATGGGAGAAAATGTACCCTGGGTGGTGGAGGATTTGCTGGTCGAGAAATACTCACTGCCCAGTAAATTCAATGACTTCCTACTTTCCCCATATAAGGTAAGCACTTTCTATATTCTCCAAAGCATCTTTAGTCTATCATTGTACCCTCAGAGGAAGTCTCCTGGGAATGTGGGACAATGTTAATCCAAGTCTCGAGGTGTATTCTCATTGTGTGATGTTGGCTACTGCGGTTACAGTTTATTGCACAGCATGGAGACTTGGGGTAGAAATTCAAATTGAAGTTGTATGTTGTCCTGCCATGCATGGCCGTTGATGCTCTGAACGTGCTGTTTGTGGGCCTTTATTTCTTTAAGGCATCGGCAGTAGTACTCATTTCCAGCGCACGGTTAGAAGCACATTTAAACGCAATCTGTTTGTCATCTATTAAGTGTTGTATGTAACTGAGGGTGTCAGTCCTGTGTGCTGTAAGCCAGGATCATACAGGATGTGGGTCTATTATCTACTTTGAATATTGAGCAATCAACCTTACTGTTGTTTTGAGAGGAGGAATAGGAGACTTTGTTGTGAGTTGATCTGCTATTTTACAATCTCTCCACGTGTGCTGAGATTTTAATATGCATTGTTTTTGGCTGTTAATGCAGACCCTTAAATGGACGGAAGATGACGAGGTAGGATTTTATCTGCATGAGCCCTGGTACTGTCAGTGTTAGCTTGCAGTGTGGTGTTCACCCAGAATATTCATCTCCATTTCCCCCTCTGTGCTTTCAAGGATCCTCTGTTGCATGAGCCTTCAGGCAGGAGGTAGATGGATCATGGAATGATTTTATACTCTGCACCAGAGTTCCTCTTTAAATATGCGAGAAGGATGATAAGACATCCCTTCTAGTGATGCAACCAAAATAGCTAATGAAAATCCATTTGTCAGCGTGAAACATTTGTGCTTATTTTTCATGTTTTTTTCCCCCACATTTCTAAATGCAAGATGATTTTTTTTATGTCAAGTATCATTTGCAACACTTGAGAAATGTTAGAAACTAATGTTTGATGATTTGTTGGGGGTGGGGGGAGAGAGCGAGAGAGAAAAGAGACATTGTTCTATTGTATAGAATGTGAAGTGTTACTGATCACTGGCCCAGTAATGAGGGCAAGAAATACTTTGATGTGACTCCTCTGGAAATAAAGATACCCAATGCAGATACTCTGATTTATCTGCCTTGAATCAGGAAAGTGGATAATCCAATTTACTTCTGAGTTTCTCCCTCCACCTCAGCTCCCAGCTACACTCGCATCAATTAAATTGCAACTGGAAAATTTGGGGTTTTAGCTTCCCTTCCCTTAACTTGGTGATCGCTTATCTAAAGACTTGTGCAAGTTCAAAATTGTCTCTTTGCTTTTGTAGCAGTGCCTCCAGATAAAAAGTGTGTCGTTTAGTCTGGTTTTAGAAGCGTTGTCGTAACGTACCCTTGACTATTGGTATTTCCTGTTTGGGTGCTGCTGCTCGCCAGACTTCATCAGCGACAACAACCGTTTTCTTGTAAAGCGAAAGATAAATCAGTTGATCAGCATCTGAATTGGCAAAGTGGGTTAGTAGACATGCATCAGAACTGAGTTGCACACGAGTGTTAACCTGTGAGCTGATCAAGCAGAATCTGGCTTCATAAAGATGGATTGCTTAACAAGTAAGTCCTTTGACAGCACCCGGGCAGGGCAAAACATTGGGCAAGCTCGGTACTCCACACGCCTCAGTTTACCGAGCAATAAGTAGGAACCGGTTATTGGTTGATTGGCGAGTCCCTTTTCCTGGGATAATATTCCCCTAAAAAAAATAGTAATAATGTGGTCTCTCAAGTAACGACTGTTTGTGAGACGCTGCGCAATTTGCTGCTGCATTTCGCCCATAAAATGCACAGTCAATTTACTGTGCAGTATATTCTGTGAAGCGCTTTGAGACGTTTCTCAGACGTTATAAGGTGCTATATCAAATGCAAGGATTACAACTGAGGTGGTGAAGGATGGATGTTTACATGGACTTTTCAGACGGAGTTTCGTAATTCCACACAGGAGATTACTGACTAGAATGAAAGTGCGTGTGGAATTGGGGACGACCTGGTGGTGGAAGGATAGGAACTTGGTTGGAAGGTAGAAGGCAGAGCTGGAATAAAAGAGGCATTGCCTGGTGTTCGTCAATGATCGGTTCTGGGACTACAGCTTTTCACTCCCAATATGTGTACAGAATTGTAAAGGAAAATGGGCAGATTAAGCAAGTGGGCAGAGTTCATTGTTGCAACATGTGCGAAAGTCCACTTTGGATACAAGAATGGCAGACGCAAATACAACAGCAAATTACATTTACCCGGCGCCTTTCACGTCAGGAGGACATCCCACGATGTTGGACAGCCAGGGACGGGACCCGAGCTGGGGGTTGGGATCAGGAGGGGTGGAGGGTAGGGGTAGGTGGGTGGCTGGCTGGCTGAAGACACGGTCGAAGAGGAGCATTTTGAGAAGGGCCTTGAAGGAAGCGAGGGAGGGAGGCGAAAGGACTGGGGTGGGCCAGATATGAAAGCACATGACTTCGAGGTGAAGGATTGAGCGAGGTGGAGCTTGCATCGATTGCGAGATTTCTGCAGGGGAACGGATCAAAATCAATGCAAATAGGTTTTTTATTATTAACTTGTAGGCAAACCAATAAGCTCTAAACGCTGTGTTTTGGGAAATATTTTTCACGGCTCGTGGTGGTTCCTGGTGCTGTTTGAGATGAGAACAGTTATTCAGAGCAGCACTGATGTCATGGCCTTCCCTGATGACCTCATTGGCTGAGGCCTGACAGTCAGTACGTAGGAGCATCTCCGACTGTTGCTCCTGTGAATCCGGGCACTGACGCCAGCCACAGTGATGGAGCACCTGAGGTTGTCTTCTGTAAATCGTGCACTGAATGTCTTCGAGAGGGTTAAGGTAATGATTTTACATGGAGATTCCATGTGTAGGTGTCAGAGAACCTCGAGTGTCGGTGTTTAGCTGTGTGCAGTGGCAAGTGAGTGGAGGCTGGGAGAATGGGGACTGAAGAGGCTGTTTTGGCAGAAGCTGCTACGATGCTTCAGGAGCGAACATACTCTGCGAAGCTTTAGATCCCAATAAAATGTGCCGTCTTCCCTGGCTGTGAACGAGCTGCTGCTTAGAGACATTGCAGGCAGACGGTGCTTGCGTTGAGCATCTGAATTTAGGTCACTGTGTAGTTAGTATTTATTGCTTCTCCTTTCACAAGGCCTATCAAGAGTCAATGATTATGGTTCTGGATTTTTTGTGTATGTGTGTGGGTGGGTGTGCGCTCGTGCCTTATTCTGTCCACACATCAGCTACACCCTTACATGCTTGTCATTCTGTTGACACCTGATTATTGATGGAAAACTTTTTTTCGCGTGGGGAAAGCCCATATTCCTTTAAAAGGGTAGTAAAAACAGGAAGGGGGAAAAAACTCATAATGAGTATGTTTGAGGAACCAAGAACTATATATATCGCCCTTCATGCCGGCCGGCGTGAAGGGCACTATATAAATGCAAGTTGTTGTTGTGAACACAAGTTAAATTGTAATGGACCTCTTTTAATTCATTTATCCCTCATCTGGTAACCTTACATACCAGAAAATCTATCATGTATTTCTTGCACATGTAACTGTATGTGAATACTGCTGCTAATTGTCTGGAATATTTAGGCCTAGGCTCCGTAACTCATTCCTACACCTTCTCTCTGGAGGTGCTGGCCTAAAAATTATGATCACATCACATTCCTCTTCTGGCTTCTCTCCCATTGCAGAATCTCACACAAGGAGTTTAAAGTAAGGATTCTAGTTGGTAGTTTGTGGGATGAGCCTCAGAGAAGCTCTGTGCTCAGCTGAGGGCAGGCAGGAGTTAATTGAGGCTGGCGATTCCAGTGCTGAGGGTGGGTGTTACTTAAGTAATAGCTGCATTTCATTTGAGGTTCCTTAATGACAATGAAATGTAGCATCCGTAGCCTGTGATGAGCTTTGCTGACGCTGCCTGCTATATCTTTAATCCCGATGCCTGAATTTAGGTCTGAACTGAGGCTGTTAACCCATTTTCTTCCCTCTAGAAAACAGGCCTCTAACGATGGTGGAAACAAAATACTGTGGTTCTGTTTTTCTGTACAGGCCAATATTTCACTTGGAAGGTCCTGCTTTTTTTTTTCATCTTTGGTTTAAAAAGTAGAGTAACTGTAAAGGGGTCGGAGGGTTAGATGGGGGAGTTATTGAGTGGAGCCTTAGGCATCCATGCTCAGACCCTTCCAGTTCCTTGTGTACAGAAATGCTCTGGATTTGCAAACTTAGTGCAAACTTTCAGAGAGAGAGCTCAGAGTGTTAGTTTTCTTGTTGCTTGTTGTGTCTAGACAGTGTGATGCAGTAGTAAACAGAGCAAAAAGGATTTAGGGGTGAAATTGGTAAATCAAATAGTAAATCAAACATAAAATAGTAAATCTGGAACCAATGTACTTGTTTTTTTGCATCTGTTTCAGTACATGATCCATAATCCTATTGTACAATTGGGGAAAAGAAAAGGCACCGGCACCCCTGAAGGGAAAAGCTCAAAGAAAGCAAAAGGTGAGGACGGCAAAGAGAAAACCAAAAAGAAGTACAAGGATAAGAAAATCCCTCTCAGCCCCCCTCTGAGTCCCACGCTATGGGGTCATGTGCACGTCAAAAAGGCCATCAATGGCACTGGGAAACTGGGAACTCCAGTAAAGATGAATTCGGGAATACCACATACACCCAAAAGGTCTCCGGAACAAGAACTGGAAGAAGTCATGAAGATTGTGACTCCAACCAAGCTCAACACCAACTTTCACATTCCCAAAAAGGGCTCCCACTCAGGGAGCGGGACGCCATCTCGCAGCTTGAAAGATAAGATGAAGAAGGACAAGATGAAGAGAAACGACAAGGGCAGCTTGCAGAAAGTAAAGTTGAAGAACAAAAGTGGACCAAAGAGTAAGCTGCTCAATGGGCAGAAGTCTCCATCGAAGAGTAAATCCCCCAAGAAAGGTCTAAAGACCCCAAAGACGAAGATGAAACAAATGACGCTGTTTGAAATGGCCAAATCGGGCACTTCGAAGACGGCAAAGACCTCGAAGGGGGTGGGAGGGACGCCGAGGTCTGCGTCCAAACCTCAGAAACATCTCCCGCCCCTGGCGCTGCAGCTTATCCGTTATTACAAAGACAACAAAGGCAAGGAGGAGAAGAAGAGTGCGGTGTCCGCCTTCATCACCAGGGTCGCCAAAGTGCTGTCTGCCGAGGACCGCGCTCGCATGCCTGAGGAAATTGGCAACCTGGTACAGAAGCGATACGAGATGCTGGAGCACAAGAGGAAGTGGGCATTGATGTCTCAGGAGCAGCGGGCAGATTATCTGAAGAAGAAGCGCGAGGAGCTAAAGGAAAAGCTGAAGGAGAAAGCCAAAGAGCGCCGGGAGAAGGAGATGCAGTTAAAGCTGGAAAAGCAGAGAAGATATGAAGACCAGGCTCTTGCGGGAAAGAACCTGCCTCCTCTGAAGCTGGTGGACACCCCAGAAGGTCTCCCTAACACCCTATTTGGTGACGTTGCGATGGTCGTCGAGTTTCTCAGCTGCTACGCAGGCCTTTTGATGCCGGACGATCAGTATCCGATTACAGCCGTGTCCCTAATGGAAGCGTTGACCTCGGAAAAGGGAGGTTTCCTCTATCTGAACCGAGTCCTGGTGATCCTCCTCCAGACCCTGCTCCAGGACGAGATTGCCGAGGATTACCGAGAGCTGGGTATGAAGCTCTCGGAAATCCCGCTCACCCTGCACTCGGCCTCAGAGCTCGTTCGGCTGTGCATGCGCAAGTCTGATGTGCAGGAAGAGAGCCAAACTTCGGTCACCAACGACGAGAGCAAAGAGACCATAGGGTTCGATGACAACGAGGTGGAGGATGAATTCCTGGAGAAGCTGGAAACTGCGGAGTTCTTTGAGTTGAGCCCAGAGGAGAAGGTGATGTTGCTGACGGCATTGTGTCACCGTATTCTGATGACCTACTCTGTGCAGGACCACATGGAGGCTTCACACCACAAGTCAGCGGAGCTGTGGAAGGAGAGGCTGGCCATGCAGAAGGAGGAGAACGACCGGAAGAAGGCAGAGAAGCTGAAGAGGAAAGAATTGGGGGAGGCGAAGAAACGAGAACCAGAGAACACCAAACTGGTGGAGAAGAAAAAGCCGGAGAAAAAGAAGGAATTTGATAAAAAGATGGAAGTGGACAAAGGCGGGAGTGACCTGCTGACGGACGTCAACGGCAGCGAGGACTTAATCAGCGCCATCAAAAGCCGGCGTCTGCTGGCCCAGCAAGCCAAGCGAGAGAAAGAAGTGAGGGAAAAACAGGAGAAAGAGAGGCTGGAGAAGGAGGTAGAAGAGGAGAAGGCGAGGAAGCATAAAGCAGCCGCTGAGAAGGTGTTCCAGGAGGGAATCGCAAAGTCCAAACTGGTGCTGCGCAGATTACCCATTGGTACAGACCGCAACCACAACAGGTATGTGAGCTTTACCTCCTTCTCAGGAGAGCATTCTATTGATTTCATTTCAGTCCAGATCACAAACTATTTTAATGATTTGCCACCTGATATCGGTCCCTTGTGGTTGAGGGGAAACCTCCCTGCAGTTATTTTGTTCTTCATTTTAGGGTATTTATACAGTGGCCCAGGTACAGAGCTGTATAGTCGACGAGTGTTGCTCTACATTCTGGGCATGAAGTGCGCATGTGACGGGTGTAAATAAGTCTGAACATATTCATGTCCTCCGCAGGTACTGGCTGTTTTGTGATCTGGTACCTGGTCTGTACGTGGAGAAGGGTTGGGTCCACGACAGCGTTGATTACAGCTTTACTCTGCCTGAAGCGTACCTACAGCATGAAGAGGACCGACACTCTAAAAGTAAGATTGAGGCACAATCTGCTCTTTGTTTATGCAATTGTCACTTAAAAAAGGAATTAAAGGGGAGTTTTTTTAATTAAAAAAAACCTATGGAGAGGGTGGTTTTATTGTAAAACTTCTCTGCCACAAACCATTGTTGAAACAGACAGCAGATGGACTAAATCAGACCAAACAGTATGTTCCCTTTGGAGGGGAAGATCTTCATTGATAAATGAGCAATGTGTCCCGCAACTGATGATTTATCTTTACAAATTGCTTCAAGGCCGTCCTCCCAATGTGAAAGGTGTTATACGTATGTAATTTGTCGTTGTAATAATATTAATTCTGACATTTGATATAGCGCCTTATGTCACAGAAACATCTAAGAGTTTCACAGGACTTTATTGTGACGAGTAGTGGCTGTGTATTTTGTGGGTTGTTTTGGTTACGTAGGGATCTTTTGCTGATCTACTTGGTTTAATGTTTTTTGAATGTTTCAGGCAATGATGAAGACAGCATTGCTGAGAGCAGCCTGAACGACTGTGGCCACCAGGGGTCCTTACAAACCTCAGAAGCATGCATTGAAATCTCTGTCCCTAAACAGGGACAGAACCTGTGGTAACCTTTATTAGTTATTTATTTACAAAATATTATTTATACTATAGGTTGTCTATCTTCTAATTTTACACATAAATCACACAGCTTAGATGTAGAGACAGGGCTGTGTAACGAGGAGAATAGGTTTGTGAACCTATCCAAAACCAGATTGTTTTAAGTACAAATCCTGTCTGTTTCCCAATCTCCAAGCAGTGTAGTTACTCCTTGATGAACAGATTGGTTCTCTGAACATTAAATATCTGCTTCAGGAACGACTTTAGTTTAAAATCTTCCTCAAATAAATCTGTGTCCTAAATTCCATCTGAATCTTTTAAACTTGTGATCGCAGAATTCCAAATTAATTAATCAAATGCACACATTCAGAAAGCAATTTTATTCTGCTCTGTTAGTAAAGTTCCTCTTGTCTTTTCTCATCCCCAACATCTTGTATGTGTTTCCAGCCAAGTGGGTGAATATGTTTTATTGAAACTATTAGGCCACTGAAAGACCCCTAAACCTAAAACCAGGATCTGTAGTATTGTATTTTGAATGTACCCTGAATCTTAACCTTCTCCTTGGTCGGCCTGGCTGATTCGGGCTGGCTGGTTAGTGTTCAATGTTCTCAATGTTTGTCAAGTCCCCACCATGTCCAGATCGCTGCAGAGACTACTTTCCTGCTGGCTGGGAATCCCGGGCAATAACACTGCAAATTCTTCCACAGGTTTTTGTGCGACACCCAGAAAGAACTGGATGAGCTCCTGGATTGCCTTCATCCCCAGGGGTTCCGAGAGAGTGCGCTCAAGGAACGCCTTCAGAAAAAGTAAGTGTTGCATTTTCCCCTCTTTTCCCCCTTTAAAGTAATTCAAACACCCTTTTTAAGAAGAGAGTCTCACCACGGCAACTCCAAACGTCCAGATGCCCACTAGAAATCCTCAGCAAACCGGAGGCTGTTTGCCCCATCATTTCTTTGCTACTCTGCTACATCTGACGTCTCAAAACACTTCACAGAATATACTATAAAGTGAATTGACTGTATATGTTTTGGGAGAAGCACGGCAGCCAATTGCGCATAGCAGTGTCCCGCAACAGTTGTTTACCAAATTTCCAAGCAGTGCTTATGGGCTTAGAACAGAAAGCCATGCATTTATTATCATCTTAAAATCGATTGGAGGAGTGTCACCATATGTACATCACATCCTTAATCATTTGAATTCTTTCAGGTCCTGCAGTGACCTAGGATGTGCTTGTGTTCTTAGTCAGAGAGCTGTGCGTGTGTTTTTACAGCTACCAGGCATGCTCTACATGGCATAGGTTAGTACAGTGTCTCTTTGTTAAAACACAGCACTGAGGACCTCGTCTGAACAACTGGCTGGATCAGTGGAGTTAGTTAGTCTGATAGTGAAGGGGAGCTGATAAACAGTTAAAATGGCACATTCTCAGAAAACACCCTGAGTTAAATGTCTGCACTGACTGATAATTCTGTCCCCTTGCACTAATGGGCTTAAAGCGTTTTGAGAACATTTATTTTACATGAAATAAATCTATTTAAATGCAAGTTATTGTTGGGCTTCACTCCTTCCAGCTTCAGTCTCTGCCATTAGATCTCACGTTTGAAACATTAAAAAAAAATTAAATGGCCAAACTATTTCCACCGTTACTTAATGCTCCAACTATTATTGCAAAGTGAGACTTTTTTAGGGGATTAGGAAGTTTCTGGAGCCACATCTCTTGCAGATCCCATGTTGCCCTAAAACTTGAGAACGGCTCCAGGGCTCGTGTTTGTGCAGATTATCGATGTGTAAATGTAGCCGGATTTTAGCATTGGTCTCACACTGGCCCATTCTTGTTAACCAATAGGTGTCTATTTTCTCTAGTAGGAATTAATTCCCGTTAAAATAATAATCCATGACATAGTGCCTTATCACGTTTTCGAGATGTCTCAAACCGCTTCACAGAATATATTGTAAAGTGAATTGACTGTATATTTTGTGGGCGAAACGTGGCAGCCAATTGCGCACAGCAGCGCCCCACAAACAGTCGCGGATTGAGTGACCAAATTATTATTTTTTATTTGATTTTAAAAAAGAAAAGTCAATTTAATTTTTTTTTTAAGCAACCTGTTTTTGCGTTCCCATTCTCAGGTATCAAGATATTCTGCATTCGATCTACTTTGCACGGAAACCAAACCTTGGCCTCAAGTCTTGTAATGGACATCAGGAGCTGCTGAACTACCTGCGAACTGACCTGATTGAGGTGGCCACAAGGCTACAGAAGGGAGGCCTGGGCTACATGGACAACTGTGATGAGTTTGAGGAGAGGGTAAGTGACCTAAGAGAGAAGTGCCTATGTTCACATTGGAGAGAGGGGTGCCTGTATTTACACAGCTAGCAGCTGAATTAAACATGGGTTCAGTTAGCACAGTGTCTCTTTGTTACCGAGCGGTTACTTGGGCCTGTGAACTGGCTCCCACCAGCTCAAATCACCGCTCCCATTTCCAATTTAATGTCAAAATGAAGACTTGGCTCGACTTCAATTTTCCTTTTACCAATTGAAATGGGGCAGAGAAAATAAAGCTAGCTGAACCCCAGCCTAGCAAAGCACAATCCTAACACACCACTGCAGTTCTGATAAACGTTTGTCCACACTCCTCGCTGAGTGCTTACCACCAGCTACTTTTTTTCAGTTTAAGAAAAACAACTCGTAATGATTGTCCTCTGGGCTCATTTTGTGTAAACTGTTACACACGTTCAAGGCGGAATAGGGTAAAGCTGTCATCTCAAGGGAATGTACCCAAGGACACAAGTTCTTTAAGGAATTGTTTCCCTATATGGTACAGTAATGCTTCTCCATGCTGTGTACGCTGGCTGTCTGCTATAATTGGGTAACATTTACTCAGCATGAGAGGGCGAAGCAATAATCGTTTTGTTGAAAGACCATGGGGCTCAATTTTGGATCCATGTGCACCTTTAGGTCTAGTTAGCACAATTGCCTCGCAAGCGAGAGGGCCTGGGTTCGATTCCTGGGCAGGACATAATGTCAGGCAAGTTTGCTTCCTCCACATGCTTCTGTTCATGTAGTACTAAGTAGGAACCCGATTATTGGTCGATGAAGGTGTGAATGAGAGTCTTGGCCAACCAGAAGAAGGATGGTGGAGGTGGGTGATGTTGCCGATGTGAGGGTAACTAAGTGACTGATCTTAGATGTAGGGTTTGAGAGATTTATTCGAAGAGTTTAAGCACTGGGAACATAGGAGAAGGGTCTGGATGCAAGTGCAAAATGTTGTCATGGTTGATTCATTCAACAAGTCAACACATTCTTGCCACAGCTGGAAGTCAGGTAGTGTGTGGTAGCTTATAGCTGAGCTATTTCAGCAATTGGCTGTAGACATCTGCTTAGGAGCCAGGAAGCCAGGCTGCTTCTGACATTGTCTCCTCCATCATTTCTTTATCGTCTGATCCAAACTGAGACGCCAGATCTATCATTTTCTTGGTCGGGAGTATTTCACGGTGAGCGGATGCCGACAGCCTTTGAGAGCTTTAATAAAACCATGACTGGAGCTTGACCGAGTGTTCTGGGAAGGGCTGCCCCAGCCAATACAAACCTTTATATTACTTACCTTGGATTCGGTTATCCTTGTTCATTAAAAGAAGTTTGACATTCACGTACAAAGCCCCTCTTGTTTCCCCCTAATCCGGTGTGACCTGGAGCTGCTTCGCTGTTTGTTTCGGTGCTTTTGCTGTTGCTTTTTGCTGTACAGCACTGGAGACATGTTCAAGGCATTGCGTGCACAAGTGAATTGAATGTCTCGCAAAAGATGAATGAGGTTACCTACTGTTGATGTTGTCTTCCTGACCTGTGGCTTAGACAAAGCTGACAAACAAGCTAACTCCTGCTCCCTTGGTGACTCCTGGTTGACTGCTGATATGTCAGCCATTACTGTACGGTTCAGTAACAATATGTGTATGAGGGTGCTGCAGGTTTCTGGGTTGCACAAACTCACTCTTTGCTTGCTGCTGTTTGTCAGGTGCGCTCGATGGAGAGCCTGAAGGACTTTGGCGAGTGTGTGATCACCCTGCAGGAGTGCATCATCAAGAAATTCCTGCAGGGATTCATGGCCCCCAAACAGAAGAGGAAGAAAGCGGGCGAGGAGGTGAAGGTGGAGGAAGTGGATGAGGAGAAGAAACTGGTTGAAGAAGCCAAGGTACATTGTGGTCCACTCTGAGCACAATTGTCAATAGGTTGCATCATAATAATAATAATCCTCGCATTTGATATAGCACCTTATCACATCTTCGAGATAAAATGCCCCAAAGCGCTCCACAGAATGTACTGTGATATTTTGCAGGTGAAACCCGGCAGCCAGTTGTGCACAGCAGTGTCCCACAAACAGTCATGGATTGAATGACCAAATTATTAGGGTCTTATCCCTGGAAAAGCGATCCGCCAATCAACTAATAACTGGGTTCCTACTTACTGGGAGGTAAATCAGAGGTGTGTGGAGTAAGGAAACTTGCCCAATGTTTCACCCCGCCCAGGAATCGAACCCAGGTCCTCTCACTTGCAAGGCGAGGGCTCTAACCACTGAGCTACAGGACTCCACATTTATTTTATTGTAATCTGTCTTCTCTATTTTCTCTCATTTTTTCCCCCTGCCTTTCTGCAGGTTTGGGAATAAGGAAATTAAAGGCATTGTTAGTTAGTTACAGAGTCTGATCACAAACCTTTCCTGTTTCAACGCTGCTCAAATGCAAACTGTAGCTGCACTGTGAGGTGTGCATCAGCAGAGGGCAGTGTCAGTTAGTGCAATACAGCTGCATGTGTTTGTGCTTCTCAGTGTAACTCCAGAAAACCATTGTAATAAGACATCAGTTCACCTTTAATGAAGTGATGTATTGTGTTAGTAGCTGTAAGCGCCTTGTCTGATAAGTGATTATAGTGTGGTGTGTGCTACACTTGTGGCCGGTGTGTTTAACAACAACTTGCACTTATATAGTGCCTTCCACGCTGGGTAGCAGCTCAGAGCGTTTAGTTTAATCAGTATTAAGTGATGACTTGTGTCCATAAGAGAACAGAATTAAGCTCACTCCAGGGTGATTTCAAATTAGTTATTTCACTTTTGGATTCAAACGTTATTCGACTGCTTTGATCTTGTTACCCTGCGATCACTGAGATCTTTCACTCTGATACAGTAAACTACTCATCTATTGTCACTCCAAGGGAAAAGAGCTCAGGTACTTGATGTATCTGGGATGATTCTGTAGGCATGAATCCTCCAGGGCCACAAGGGGACGGTCACAGGGATTACTAATGTAAAGAGTGACTGAAATTCTTCCTCCAGTTAATTATAAGGTTTTTTTTAAATAATAACTTTCCCAACCTCTGTACCATATTGAATATCACTTCAGGTTTTGTGTTCTTTCTCTTTTCTACAAAGAGCGTTTGAAGGTTTTTCTAGGTATAACAAACTTTCTGTGCTGTAATTGGCCGCTGGGTTCTGAAACGGCTGCCAAACTCGTAGAGTCGGACAAAAAGGATTTTGAATCCAGTCAAATTGACTCTGTTCTGGAAAATGTGACTTAAAATGGTAGGAAAAGCATGAAAAATGTGCTGGGAGCCAGGGGAGCATCAACCCTGCTCAAGTATTCTAATCATATGGAGTCTGAAGTTGACGATTCATTACACAGTTCAAAATCACATAACACTTTTGATTCTTTTATGAGAGAGACTTGAGGAGCGTGTCATCCTAGATTTATGGTGGTTGATTGTGTTCTGAGATTTGTATTGAGACTTTCGTTAGAAATAAAAATGGGTTTCTCCTGATTTTTTTTTCACACACCTTCCCACTTAATTCCCTTCCTAATCCATCAGACATTCACCTCCCTTCAGTGAAGTGATCGTGGTCACTGCTCGAAAAATTACTGCTCCCTCAAGGTCAGTTACTACTTAGCAATAAACCTATGTACATTGTGGTTAAAACTACAGTCTGCTTTGGGGAGCCGTGTGTTGGCTGCTTCCAGCTATTCCCATTTTCATTAAGTTGAAGGGGAAGAGAAACCTCACGGGGATTGTTTTCGGTGTCGAATACTCTCCTCTCTACTGTGCAATTTGTTTAAAAACTACCTCTCCTCGTGTGAGATTAAATTGAAGCTGTCACTTTATTTCTCCTTCATGTATGGCTTCTCGTGAGCTGGTTAGTCAGTGGAGTTGCCTTTGGGATCAAGACTTTCTTTGGCAGCATTGACATTCAAGTCTGTTCTGGAGGATCTCCCTGTGGGGAACGTGAGCACTGAATGGAGTAGACACCCAGGCACTAACATCTGGGTAGATGTGAAAGACTCCTAACGTGGATGGGGTGGAGAGAAGAATTTTATCCTCATTATGTTTATTTCTCATACAGATCGAGTGATTTTTGCTGAAGCTCTTTACCTAGTGTAGTGTTTATTAATAATAATAAAAATCCTTGCATTTGATATAGCGCCTTATCAAGTCGTTGAGACGTCTCAAAGTGCTTCGCAGAATATACTGTAAAGTGAATTGTCTGCATTTTGTGGGTGAAACATTGATGTGGAAGCTGATGAAGTATTTGAACTTTTGTCACAGCTTTCACTCTGCCCACTTGTGAATCATGGTTGATTTTTGAGTTGAAGATTAATCTGTGCCCTTCCTATTGCCCCCAGGTTGCCTCCGCCGTGGAGAAATGGAAGAGCGCGATCCACGAGGCTCAGACCTTCTCTCGGATGCACGTGCTGCTGGGAATGCTGGATGCTTGTATCAAATGGGACATGTCTGCGGAGAACGCCAGGTGTAAAGTGTGCCGGAAAAAAGGTGGGGACTCACTCCATCATCAACTTGTTTCAAACTGCAAGAAGTAGAACTCTTGTCACTTCATTCTTTCCTTGTATCCTCTCTACATAAGGATCCCATTTCGCCCAGATTTTATTTCCTCATTCCACGAACCATGCTTGGCTTTGTCTTTCTCTCCACAACTTTCGTTCATGTTTTCTCTTTTCTCACTCATTTACTGACTCAAACTCAATTGTTCTCTCTCGCTGTCTCTCTCCTTGCCCTCACATGTCCTTACCTATCTGATCTGCTAACCCCCCCCCCAACTCCACCACCCGCTGCCTCCGCTCGGCTGGCTCTGGCCTCCTTTTAGTCCGTCATCCCCTCCACTCCACCATCGGTGGCTGTGCCCCGAAAGTCTGGAACTCTCTCCCTTAGTCCCTCCGCCTTACCCCCTCCCTAAAGTCCTTCCTTTTTGATTGTACTTACGGTCACCTCCCTCTTCCCCTGGCTCGATGTCAGACTCCCCTACTGTCAAGAGCTCTGGAACACTACCCTGTGTGAAGGGCACTATGTACGTGCAAGTTATTATTGTTGACTTTCCCTCCGTGTTGCCTCCCAGGTGAAGATGACACACTGATCCGATGTGATGAGTGTAACAAGGCTTTCCACTTGTTCTGCCTCAGACCGGCTCTCTATGTGATCCCTGACGGAGAATGGCTCTGTCCTGCTTGTCAACCAGCCACAGCCCGACGGGGCACTCGAGACAGGTAGCTCTCTCTCTCTCTGCCTCAACATAACCAGACAACTTCCACCCACACCTTACTGCTGTTGCTGAACTTAATCATAATGATAATAACTGACAAAGGTGAGGTATAATCGGGTTAAGTCTTACCTCCATTGCACCCGAGTCCAACTGTTAGAACATAAAGAACACAAGAATTTGCTAGAAAGAAGACCAATCTAGTTCTCCTTCCACAATCCTGGCAGTCGCTTGAGATGTCATGTCTCCAAACTATATACTGTATCCCCAGATATTATTTTCTAGCAGAAATCTACCTAATTTGTTCTTGAACCAAACAACACTTTCTACTTCCTCTGTCTGTCTCCCGAGGGAGCCTGTTCCCTATGTTTACTACTCGCTCACTTTTGTTTCCTGGCAGAAACTATGCTGAGGAGGAGGAGGATGAAGACAAAGATGAGGAGGAAGATGAAGAGGAAGAAGAGGAGGAGGACGATGATGAAGACTATGAGGAACAAGCAGTGACGGCTGGACCGAGATGTAAGTTGTGACGGTTGCTTCATGCTACAAGATAGATTGGAACCGGGGCTGTGTGTGTGAGCGCTGCCAACAGCTCTCTGGCCTGTAGCCGGTGCTCAGGCTGATTGGATCAGATTGATTTGAGAGGAACGTGCTTTTAATGCAAATTAATTTACTGTTATATTTGAAAAACTAGTTTAGGGGAGAGAAAGGGGAGAATTTACTTTTTACTCACAGAGTTATTTCTTTTACCCAGAGAATGGCCTCCTCCTGTGCTGTAGGGTTCTATGATTGACAAGGCTGTGGGAGGGGTTGAGGAGAGGTGTGCTCGGCAGCTCAGTGACTACATGTGAATGCTTTTACAGTGAGACCAAGGAAAGTTATCAAAGCAAAACCAGTCGTGCAAACTGTGGCTCCGCGGAGGGGCAGGCCCCCGGGAAAGAAAAAGTCCACTCAAACCCACGTCAGGAACACCCGGCACAAGGCATCGCCTGTCAATGAGTTGGACATCGATGAGCTGGTGAGTGGCAGTGTGCTCAGTGCCAGAGCCCAGGCCTGGCAGTGAGTGCTCTAAAACCAACAGGTGTCTGGCGACAAGTATTTGATCTTGTATTGTACTGCGATGTAATGCAATGCAGACTCGAGAAAACAGATATAGAGCCCCACAGAGACAGAGGATGCAATTTGCAGATTCTCAAGCAGACCTTATGATGTGATGGGTGTTTTATTCCAACAGAAGAATCTCTGCATGTCTTGTCTCTCCTCCCTACCTCTCCACCCACCCAGTACATTTATTTTTCAGCTGTTCACTTATTTCAAATGAGTTTCTATTTCTTCCCCGACTTTTCTTTCATTGGAGAATCTATAGACTGCTGTTTTATTAATTGACCACTGACCAATTTGTGCACAATTGGCTGCAGTGTTTCCCCCACAAAATACACAGTCAGTCTACTTTATAGTGGCCACCGGCACCTGTATAGAAATTGTTTTTTTGTTATTTGACCCCATGAGGGCAATTCCTGGGTGAACGTCTGTCAATTCAGAGTCCGTTTCTCACCCCCCCATCCCCTCACTCCATTGTCAGGGTTTGGCTATGTGAATCTCTCTCTTCCCCCCCCCCCCTCCACCCCCCAAATCTTTGGCTCTCAGAACCTCTGGATGTTCATTGAGCGCAATTAAAACAAATCCTTGCAGCCATATCTCAAGTACAAGGCCATTGTATTCCCAGGTGCAATTTGTTGAAGAGTAACAGCCAGTTGTACAGATGGAGACTCATGTTCACAGCCAATACAATCTTGGCATTGTGTTCAACATTCAGTGACATTAAGCAAACACGTTTGGATACAGAAGCTGGTTTTGTTCCGTCTTTGTTCACTTATCGAGCAGCCTCAACAGAATAACTGCAGCGTGAAAGGAATACACGGCTACCCTGCTTAGCTGGCATGAGTGAGGAATAGAAGTACTCAGGAGATGTATGCCTTTGTTCACTGTCGCTAGTCAATTGGTCTTGGATGTGGAGTCTGCAAGTGAAAATAGCTATACTGTGATCTTGATGAGAAGGGCCGATCATTTATCATCTGCTCCTCTAGAATATTTTCATTTTATTATTTACTGCTGGGTTATACCTCTCCCCCTTCTACTTCACCTTGTCCCCACTCCCCCACCTACTCACACACCCAAAGATTGTACTGCTTCGCTCAGCTAATAGGTCCTCAAATCCTGTCTGTGTGAGGGCTTTCTCTCATTCAACACCTATATATACCAGTGCATTTGGCTGCCACATTTCGCCCACAAAATATACAAGTCAATCAACTTTACAGTGTATTGTGTGAAGCGCTTTTGAGTCATCTGAATGACCTGATAAAGCGCTGTATCAAATGCAAGGATTATTATTATTATTACCTACCACCGCTGCAGCATGTCTCCGGTTTGACCAGCAGCTTGGCTCTGCCCAAATTGGACTCCTGTGGCTTTACAGATAATATATGACCTGATGTATTCTAGCACCTTGTAGCATTGAGACGTCTTTACATTTAATTGGTGTAGAGAGCGTTTGGGTAGACATTGCGGCAGCCAATTTGCTCACAGTATGTTCTCACAATCCACCTTGAAGTGAACGACCAATTCATCTGGAGGATTTTTGGCCAGGATTCACGCAGTTTTGCAAAACGACGCTTTGGAAATGTTTGAACGTCAGCGGATGCTTTCCTCCGTTTCCTTCGTTCTGAAGCAACACTATCGTCGCTGTGAAACGCTGCCAATTCTTCAGACTATTTTTAAAAACACTTTAAAAATACTGAACCGTAGCTCAAACAATCAGGGATTAAAAATAATCGTCTCTTCAGGAAACTGTTTTATTTTCCAGCTTCAAATCTGGCCTTCTTTTAAGTGAGCTTCGCTTTTATGGAAGTAAATATCCTACTTCCTGGAATGTGGAGTGTGTATCCATTGGGATCTGGCTTTGCAATGGAGTCAGAGACTAACTACGTGGCAGGGACACTGCAGATGGCTCCTGTCTGCCTTAATGTAAGAATCTGTTTTGAAAATATGCGATCAATGTGGAGGATTACAATTCTCCTCTTCCCGCCCTCTCCCATAAGCTTTGTTCCCTCCGCCCAGGGTCACCGAGTCCTCCTTTGTGAACATCTAGTGCTGGTATCTCAGCAATGCTCTCAGGCTTCCTTTATCCCCCCCCCCGCCTCCCCCCCCCCCCCCACACACACACACACACAGAATGGGTCCTACAGGAGCCCCAACGTACTACGGTTCTTCTCTCGGCAGCCACACTCCTGAACTATTGCACCCGATGGATTATTGCAAGATGATTCATAGCTTGTTAAAGGGTTTTAAATAGAATAAAAGTATCTGTAGACTGGGGGGTCCAATTAGTATCAGAATTCCAAGGCCGTGACCACAACTCGCTGGGAGTGTTTGTACTGCTGACAGTTGCTGCTGGCCCACTGGGGTGGCTGAGAGTCACCGCGCTGTGCCAGCTGTCCTGCTGTACCTCAGCCAAACAGAAGTGGGGTCATCTTTCACTGGCAACGATTATCAAGAGAGCAAATAAACAGTATGTACAGGCCTGACCTGATAATCCAACCTCATTTGTCACAGGCTGATTCAGCTGGATAAACCAGTCCAGTTTGCGTTCGAAATGGCTTGTTGCGGTTGTTAGGTAAAGGGAGGGTGTTATAATAGAAACATTTGATATCCATGTTTGATTTGATATTGGTTTTCTTCAGCGCTGCCTTCAGAGTTTGCCAATAGGCAAGGAATGACATTGTTTGTGTTGCTGAGCTGTGATTTGTGGAGTATAACACAGAGGATATAGCTTCAGTTACAGGAAGTAATAGTGGGATTGTGATACGGTCGCCCAGCACTGCTTAGAGTATAATGTGCTGAGTTGTGAACGTACCGCAGTAGTAATAATAATAATCCTTACATTCGACGTCTTCGAGACGTCTAAAAGTGCTTCACAGATAATACTGTAAAGTGTGTATTGTTAGACTACTGTGTGGGTGAAATGTGGCAGCCAATTTAAGAAGAATGCTTGAAATTTAGTAGTGTCTTTTTGTATTCAACAATAACTTGCACACCTTACAAGTAGGAAAGTATATCAAAGCGCTTCAGAGATGGGGTGGAAGCCTTTACTAGGTGGTTGGGGGGGGTGAGGTGCAAGGATCTAGCTCGATGCAAGCCGGCAAAGAGGGTATGAGACAGAGGATTTAGGGAGAGAGATTCAGAAAGGAAAAGTGGCTGAAGAAATAGGTTATATATAATAATGATGATCTTCACCCACACTGCCAACCAACCTGCTTCTGTGCTAGCTGCTGGTCTAGATGCCAGTTTTCTGTCTCCGCTCAACTCTGATCTTGTGCCCAAAGGTGCGACACGGGTCACGGCGACAGAACATGGAGCTGGCGAAATGTGAAGAGATTCTGAACAAGTTGATCCGATCTAGATACAGCTGGCCCTTCAGGTAAAAGATTGCACCTTTGTTCCACTCTGTACATGGTCATCCATGAGGCGGTACACTGCTGTGATTGGGATCTTTGCTTTCAGCAGTACTCTGTGGCTGGCCCACTCACTGTGTTACTGAGCGCAGTTTCCCACTTCCTGCTTCTAGACTTCTTGTGTTTGTATGTGTTTAAATCTGTGTCCTTGTGCTTGTATAACAGGAACATCTTGATCCTTGTCTGATGTTTTATGTATCTGATTAGCTTTTACTATCACTAAATGCTTGTCAAAGCTGTTTCCTCTTCATTGATGTCCGTCACTGTATCTTTCCTTTGGATTATTTTTAAAAAAATGAAATCTTGCCAATTTCCTCCTTCCTTTGATGTTCTACAGGCTAACTGTGGTACGTTGGCCAGGTGATCAGATTGTTGGCCAGCACACCAGGAGAAACTCCCTTCTCTTTTTGAATCGTGTCATGGGAGATCTTTAATGTCCACCTGAACAGGCAGATAGGACCTTGATTTAACATCTCATTGGGAGGACCTCTGACAATGAAACACTTCACCAGTACTGTATTGGAGTGTCAGCTTTAGACTGTGATTTCAAAGTCCACACATGGAATTAAACCCACAACCTCTGACTCGATGAAAACTATTTGCATTTATGTCGTGCCCTTCATAAAGAGTAACATCTAGGACAACTTTAGAGGGCTGAGCTGGGCTGGCCACTGAGCGATGGGGAGGAGTGGGTGGCCAAGCTTTGTTTATAGAAGTAGGATTTTAGGCTGGAGTGATACCAACAGAGCCAGGTTAGTGCTGGCGGAACCAGGCCTGGCTCCAACAGGCTGTTGTAACACAGTGTGCTCGCTCACCCAGCTTCTCAGCCCAGAAACATGAAGCTGCTTCACGGTAGCAGTAATGTCGGCCACTAATGCAGCTCCAGCTGTCCCATTCATATAGTTGTGCTCACACTATTGAACTCAGCAGCTCCTGCTCCCCTGAGCATTCTCTCCTTTCATCTCCCTGATCTCGAGGAAGCCTGTCTCCATTTGTTCCTCAAAAGTTCTTGTATGTCTCCCATGGCTGTAACCTTGGCTGTTCGTATTAATTTGTATAGGAGCAACAATTCTTGGCAAGCAAAACATTTTAAACTGCGCTGCCAGACTCATGGCCTTTGTGTAGCCTCCCTCTTATCCAACATGCTGCACCTCACTAGGGCACTGCATATGAACAAGACCAGAGAGGCTGGTGGTGCTGTTCACCTCCCTTTATAACCAGCGCTGTTCTGCCAGCTCCCAGAGCAGTCTGGTATCAAGGTGGAGTAGACTTTATTTGGGTTCCATTGCTACAATTGAGCTAATGTTGAAACCATGGTGGCAATCTCCTCTGCCCATGGATTAAGTTTAGAGGACTAATAATAGTAATTCTTGCGTTTGATAAAGCGCCTTATCACGTCTTCAAGACGTCTCAAAATACTTCACAGAGTATACTGTAAAGTGAATTGACTATATTTTGTGGGGAAAAACGTACATAACATGTAGGAGCAGGAGTAGACCATTCGGCCCTTCGAGCCTGCCCCGCCACTCAATCATGGCTGATCTTCTAATCTAACTCCAGCTAATAACCTGACACTGCCTTATCCCCATATCCCTTAATCCCTTTTGCAATAAGAAATCTATCTCTCTAAAACGTGGTAGCCAATTGCACAGAGCAGTGTCCCACAAACAGTCGTGGATTGAGTGACTTTTTTTGATTAAGAATATATTTGTCCTGTTATACTAACAGTTTGCATAGCTGTGTGTGTGTGTGTGTGTGTGTGTGTTCAGTCGTGAGCTCCTGGATATAATGCTACTCATGGTTCTTTCCCATCGAGACTTGAAGTTAATGCATTGTCTCTCCATTTCTCAGAGAGCCGGTCACGAGTGCTGAAGCCGAAGATTATCTCGAAATCATCAGCAACCCCATGGACCTGCAGACCATGCAGAGCAAGTGCACGTGGGGTGGCTACAAATCGGTGGAGGACTTTCTGGAGGACATTATGCTGGTGTTTGGCAACGCAGAACAGTACAATGAGGAGGGCAGCCAAGTCCTCGTCTGCCTGGAAAAGACAGAGCGTTGCTTCGCGAGCATGTTGCAGAAACGCCTACCCGGCTACACCTACAAACGGGGCAAGCCGCGGAGGAGAGGGACCCGCAAACGGGTGAAACTGGTGGAGATCGATCTGATGGAGGAGGATGATGATGAGGATTATTATGACAGTGACGCAGAATCAAGTGAACATTCCACCCCACCACGCAAACGCCGGAAGTGAATGGGCGCCGGGGGAGCAGAGTTTTCGGAATAATGATGGACGTAGTAATTTCCTGCAGAACGCATTTGTACTTAATGTTTACGCTGACTGATTTTAAATACTGGATCAAATGCACCTGTTCATCCTGACCCAGGTGTTTCATAGGAAGAAGAGGGTCAGAATCAAAAGCTCTTATAGATTTTTATCAGGACATATTCCTCGTGGGGCGGGAGAACTTGTGGGGCTCTGGCTGGCTGGGCTGGGAAGGGTTTTATTACCTGAGAATAGCTGTGAAAGTTGGATGACATGACTGTGGGAAGCTCTCTGTTTCTCCTCTTAGATGAGGTTTTAACTTAACATCACAACTGTACAGTCAACGTAACTTTGCTCCTATTGCATATCGTTCCTCTTTGGTATTGAAACGGCCACGCTGGATGGGCTCGTGTGTTCTCAGCCATTTTAATTAACAATTGCTGTACCTTGGGGAAGGGTTATAAGACTGACCCCAGGCCAGGTTATTTTACAGGCGAAACGCCAGGTCAAATCTACTGCATCACCAGCATCTAGTTGTGTTTGTTATTGGGTCTCTCTTTACACAGGGATATGTAAAACATGGTCCCTTTGTGTACTTCAGAGCAGTATTGCTAGAGTCGGGTATATGTCCTTCCAGCCTCAAGGAGGAGAATCTTTGTGTCTGCCCACATCCTGAGAGGAAAGTCACTGAGCAGAGCAGGCCTTTCACACGGACTGAGGTAGCCCGGTGACTGTATTTCCTGGCTCTGTGCCTAAGCAAGGCTCAACAGCAACTTGCATTGATATAGCCCCCTTCATGTCAGGTAGCGTCCCAGAGCGTTTCAGAGTGGCGGAGCCTGACACCACGGCTCCTCAATGTTGAGCTAAAACGGACAGTTTTTCGCACAGCAATGTTGGCTGCTCTGCTTGAGGTTGAATATTGAAGGCTAGTCAGGGTTGTGGAACCTGTGGCTCAGTGGTTAGAGCACTCGCCTCGCAAGAGAGAGGACCTGGGTTTGACTCCCAGCAGGGCGAAATGTTGGGCAAGTTTCCCTACTCCACACGTCTCTGTTTACCAAGCAGTAAGTAGGAACCTGGTTTTTTTAGTCAATTGGCGGAATGCTTTTCCGGAGATATTAATCCCTTCAATTTTTTTAAAAAAATAATAAATTCAATCCATGATCATTTCAATCCATGACTGTTTGTGGGACACTGCTGTGTGGAATTGGCTGGTACATTTCACCCATAAATATACATACAATCAATCCACTTTACAGTATATTCTGTGAAGCACTTTGAGACGTTTCGAAGACGTGATAAGGCGCTGTGTCAAATGCAAGGATCATCATTATTTTCTGATCAGATGCATGTGGCTGGGGACCCTTACATCTACCCTGCATTGTTTGATGTAGCAACCAGGGCAGATGGTGCCTACCTGAGCTGGACCAGTTTACCAGTCCGCTTGTTGAGTGGTCTCTTGTTTGTTTATGACCAGGGGGAAGAGGGTCTTGCCCATTACCCAGCAAAGGCTGCCAGGCCGCAAGTTGCTTCTCCCTGTTTGGCAGTGACGGGCTAGCAATGGTTTACTCACATGTGCTGTCCTTTAAAAAGTCTTTGTGAACTGCAATTGGATTTTTAAAACGAAGAAAAGAGAATTGTAAAATACTCCATATTTATGCGGAGAATTGTACAGTACATCCAATGTGTAGATCTAACCAGGCTCTTGAACTTCCTCAAGTTGTGTCAGAATACAATCGCTGCGCGACGCTAACTTGGGTTCGTTCGTCCACCTTCTTTATCCCTGTAGTTTGTGTAAATAACTCTTATTATTTGAGTATTTGATGTCTTTCAAAGTCCCTTTTCAGACCTGCGATTTTTATGGAGAGGGGGAAACGAAAAGCACTGATCTACATTTTCTTTCTCTTTATGTGGATTTCCTCCCTCCCTTCCTTTCTTTCTCTCTCGCATTTGGCGTTTTATCTCTTCCTTTCCCCCCACCCCCCTCCCAATGGCACACTGTTGTGTAGGTAAGTGCTGTAGAATAAGACTGTGGAATTTGACATTGTATATTTTTTTTTAAAGTGTCTGTGGTAGTTGTTCGGGGAGGGCGATACTTGTATTAAAACATTTTTGGAATTTTAAAAATAAAACAATAATGTTTAAAATTGTGGCATCCCTCTTGGGCCGTGTCTTCCCAAGTAGCTTATAATATAATTAATAATAATATAGCACCTTATCACGTCTCTGAGACGTCTCAAAGCGCTTCACAGAAACTTACCCAACGTTTCGAACTGCCCAGGAATCAAACCCAGGTCCTCTCGCTTGCGACGTGCGTGCCCTAACCACTGAGCTACAGGACTCCACAGCTTATCACAGTTTGGCTCCTGAATTCTACCCCAAGGTTGTTCTGTGTGGGGGGTGGGTGGGAACTTGGTGAGACTGAAACAGTCCAGTGACTGGCAGCTCCAGTGTTGGTGTTGGGAATTTTTAGAGTACGGCTGCTCCTGTTATAATGTCCTTGTTTCCTACATCCCCTGGTCTCGTCCCTACTTTTTGACTGGAGGATGTGACCCTGAGCAAACAATAAACTACAGAAAGTGAACACTCCCCTTGTATCATGCTCTTAATGAGACAGAGCAGGACCAGGAACAGTAAGTCATCTATATACTAAATTGAGCACCAGGTTTATTTATAGACCTGCTTACGACAAAGATCTCAGTGATGGCTGCCATCCAGCGAGGCTCCAAAGGCTTTGATGCCAATTGTATTACACTGCACAGGACTGAGCCTCAGTACTTCAGTGTTCCCCTTCCTCAGCTCCTTGTTCTCAGGCCACAATACTGAGTTTAATGATGGGTCCTGAAGTTCTCTCAATCGGTTACTGAGCCTGATTACTGCTCGCACTTAGAAGCCTCTTCACTTGTTGACTGATGTTTCTTTCCTATTCTGATTCATCAGGATGATGGCAAGACAGAGGATTTGCTGATGAGGAGAGACTAGGCAGATGGGTCTGTTTCACTGGAACAGAGAAGGTTGAGAGACCAGATGCATGTTTGGAAGGGTTTTTACAAGGTGAAAAGGAAGAGGCTATTAAATGTATTTTCCAATAGAAACTATTTTAATTGGTTGATAAATCAGAACCTAGAAGGTATCACTTTAAGGCGATTATTAAAGCCGAGATGGGGAGAATGTGTCACTCAGGGCAAGTTTCTGTAGTTGAAAGGGTAGTAAGTGTGTGCAGTGTTTTCTGATACTGTTCTTGTTTGTGTTGCTATTATCTGGGTGATACAGATGCTTCCTGGAGCACTGGGTCAAACACTGTGTTTGCTGAACACAGGGGCAGTGTAAGCACTTACAAAAGGGCAGAATATATCGGGACCGAAAGAACAATAAACAGGCACCTAAATTACAGCCATAACGAGCTTGTACTGGCACGAAGGCTGAAGTCAACACTTGAACACTTTTAAAAGACTGGTAGTTCAATCAATGCATGGTATGGTGATGGTGTGTGATCTCACTCGCTGTCAGCTAAGCTGAGACACCGAGGTGGCTGGTTGTCTCTGGCTAACTGGAGAAGATCAATCTGGCACTTGGCTGAAGCTTGGAACCTCCCTCATACACCTGCCACTAGTGGTTGTAGTGATTATTATAATAATCCTTGCATTTGATACAGTGCCTCATCGCGTCTTCGAGCGTCTCAAAGCGCTTCACAGGATGTACTGTAAAGTGAATTGACTGTATATTTTGTGGGCGCAACGCGGCAGCCAATTGCACACAGCAGCGTCCCACAAACAGTCAGGGATTGAGTGACCAAATTATTAGTGTTTTTTTTAAAAGGATTACCCCCGGAAAGTGATTCACCAATTGACTAAAAAGTGGGTTCTGTTTATTATGTATCTGTTAATTGCAGAACAAGGAGCTGCGGAAATCTCCTAGTATTGATATTGGGAGAAGCTGGAGATGATTCCGGGGGTGAGTGAGCTGCTTTCTGACCTGACTTTCACTCTCTTTGTCAACTGCAGTTGAGGCCTGGACTTCCCATCCGTCAGACTGTTTTATATTAAAACTTAAAACGGTGGAAGGAACATTCTTAGATGTGGTCTTAGTTTTTCCAGGTATTAAAGAGAATCTGCCACCCTCCTACCCCTACCCTCCACCCCTCCTAAACCCAACCCCCAGCTTGGGTCCAAATCCCTGACTGTCCAGCACCTTGGGACGTCCTCTCAACGTGAAAGGCGCTGTACACATGTAATGTGGTGTTTCAGCCGCCGAGTCATCTTGCCTACACCATCATGGCTCACTTCAGTCTGAACACAATAGGTTTGCATAGCTGCTGGGATAAACCCACTCCAGCCTCCACCAAGTGTAATCGCACATTGTGATAGCAATGCACCTGGAGCATTCGCTTCCTCCGATTATGGTCATAAATCTGCTATTTTCAGCTCTTGTGCAGATAGCCAACTGCCGGGATCTGACTCGGAGCCAGTGCTACTTATCACTGTAGATCGGTTTGTGTGATGTTTCTTCTTTTAACTTAGACCAACGGTCTCCTGTTTAATAAGACTTGAATTTGATATTCTGTAATGGCCAAAATATCTCAAAGCCCTTCACAGGTAATTGACAAATGTGGAAACCAGGAAATAATAATAGTAATAATAATCCTTTCATTTTTTATATAGCACCTTATGTCATTGAGACGCCTCAAAGTGCTTCACAGGATATAATGTAAAGTGCAGTGACTGTGCATTCTGTGAGCAAACCATAAATACTATTTATCTTAGAGCTTTGAGATGTCCTCCCGACGTGAAAGGCGCTCTATAAATGTAATTTTGTTGTTGTTCTTAAACTTTTGACGACTCAATAAGGGCAGAAGCGGTAACTTCCCGGCAGCAGAAGGGTTAAAGACCAAAGGGTTAACTTTGCGCTCCGAGACCCGTCTCCCACGCGGAGGCAACACCTTTAGCTGCACAAGTACCTTTTCTTTCTCTCATATTTACAAGTGCAAAGAATTCCTCAACGCATCCCACCGCATTCCTTGCTGTAAACTAAACAAAGGCAACATGTTGAGCGGTTGCTGGCTGCTGCTGGGGGAGGAATGAACAAATGCTTGAGCTGCAGCTCTCAGTGGCTCACTGCCCTCCCACTTCATTCTTTCTGTTGTTCTTTATTGTTCTTAATTTATTACTTATTATTACTTTGGGAGGAAGTATTTCCTATTCATCATGAGGGAGCAGCTGATGAAACAGAAGGATGAAAATTGATATGATCATTATTGTCAAATTAGTGCTGAACTCAGGTTAGGATTGCTTTGAGCTCACAATCATTAGAAGATGAGTTGAGATGTGCCCAAGACATGTTTTAGATGGGTCAGTTACATGATGACATTAATTTCTTTTTGGCTGGATTTGAGCACACTCCTGTATTTAGTCACTTTATTTAGCCATTTTTTTTTCCATCTTTCCTTCTTTGCTCTTATTCTTCACTTATTCTTACTTATTTCCCTTGTTCCCAGTCATGGAGTCCTGTAGCTCAGTGGTTAGAGCACTCGCCTCACAAGCAAGAGGACCTGGGTTCGATTCTCGGGCAGAGCGAAACGTTGGGCAAGTTTCCTTACTCCACAACTCTGTTCACCTAGCAGTAAGTAGGAACCTGGTTGTTAGGTGATTGGTGGATAGCTTTTCCAGGTAATAATCCTTCATAAAATAAATTTAAAATAATCATTTGGTCACTCAATATACGATTGTTTGTCGGGCACTACTGTGTGCAATTGGCTGCCAAGTTTTACCCACAAAATATACAGTCGCTACACTTTGCAGTATATTCTGTGAAGCACTTTGAGACGTCTCAAAGATGTGATAATATCAAATGCAAGGATTATTATTATTATTATGGGCAGGGTACAGTTGTGTGCGGTGTCTGTGCTCACAGTTTATATGATACTGGGGAAGGTGATGTGTGAAATGAGCATGTTGAGGATCAGAGCCAAGCTGTTGCTGATATCAGTGTGTATCCTGTGGAAGGGAGGGCAGTGTTCACAGATTTACAGCTCCACACACGCCCTCAATGCTCCATTCACACTCTCACAAACTATAATCTTTTGTAAAAAAAATGTAAACTTGTCCTAGCAACCATGCTTTAATGTGCGTGTACTTTGATCAGGCCAGCTGTGCGTTCCTCAGTCACTGGGTAATCCCACCACTACAAAGCCAAGACCATTCAGGCAGTTACATTTCACTTAAGCTTAATAAGTACATGTGGTTTAGGCGCTGTAGTGAAACTGAGGCATTGCAGTCACGAATGTGAGCGTTGCAGAAGGTCAGTCCTGCAAATAATAATAATAATAATCCCCTCATTTGACACAGCGCCTTATCACTTCTTCGAGATGTCTCAAAACGCTTCACAGAATATACTGTAAAATGAATTGACTAACACGGCAGCGAATTGCGCACAGCAGTGTCCCACAAACAGTCGTCGATTGAAGTGACCAAATTATTTACAAATCAGAATTGTAAACGACTCTTTGCCTCCTGCACTCCCCTCATTGCAGTTCCCATGTTCAGTTGGGATGGATGTTTGACATGAGAGCTTCTGGTCAGGGAAGCAAACATCAGTCGGTGCTCGTGCTGCTAACCACAATAAGATGACAGACAGCTAACCAGATGCCAACACTACCTGGCCAGTCTCACCTACAAGCCAGAGGAGGACAGCTGGCATCCTTGGATCAGCACCTCAGCACAAATCTATTCTTGGGAGCAAAAAACAAGTGTATTTGGGTCGGGAGGAGACTATCTGTCTGCTGCACACTCCATTGAATCGAGTTACTTGGGTTGCTATTATCTGTGTGATGCAGATGCTTCCTGCAGCACTGGAGACGAGCGCGGTGTTTGTTTACATTGCTATACGTGCACAGCACTTACGAAGATACACAAACCTACTGTAGCGGGCCACTCGACCCATCGTATTCATGTTCTTGGTTGCTGCTCCAATGAAGCCATCTATTCCAATCCCTGGTTCCTGTTCTATCTCTACCATCTAATGCTCTCCCTCTGATTGTGCTGATCTTATTCCCTCTTTAAACCCCCTATCAACTGCACTCCCAACAACCAACCCTGGCAATTAATTCCATGTTCTAATAACCTGGAGACTTGTAGCTTAGTGGTTAGAGCG